AGCGCCGCAGCCGACCAGCGGCGACCAGCGGCGACCACAGCCGACAACGCGCGCCGCCAGAGCCTCTAACGGAGCGAGATCTATTGCAATTTACACTAAGACAGCGCCGCAGCCGACCAGCGGCGACCAGCGGCGACCACAGCCGACAACGCAACCGAAAGAGCCTCTAACGGAGCGAGATCTATTGCAATGTACACTAAGACAGCGCCGCAGCCGACCAGCGGCGACCAGCGGCGACCACAGCCGACAACGCAACCGCCAGAGCCTGTAACGGAGCGAGATCTATTGCAATTTACACTAAGACAGCGGCGCAGCCGACCAGCGGCGACCAGCGGCGACTAGCGGTGACCACAGCCGACAACGCAACCGCCAGAGCCTCTAACGGAGCGAGATCTATTGCAATTTACACTAAGACAGCGCCGCAGCCGACCAGCGGCGACCAGCGGCGACCACAGCCGACAACGCAACCGCCAGAGCCTCTAACGGAGCGAGATCTATTGCAATTTACACTAAGACAGCGCCGCCTATGGCTATTTCCACTAAGACAACGCCGCCGCCTGTGTGTGGTCTCTGTGTGTGTGATCTCTGTGTGTGTTGTCTCGGTGTGTGTTGTCTCTGTGTGTGTGTGTGATCTCTGTCTGTGTTGTCTCGGTGTGTGTGTGTGTGTGATCTCTGTCTGTGTTGTCTCGGTGTGTGTTGTCTCTGTATGTATTGTCTCGGTGTGTGTGTGTGTGTTGTCTTGGTGTGTGTTGTCTCTGTATGTATTGTCTCGGTGTGTGTTGTCTCGGTGTGTGTGGTCTTTGTGTGTGTGTTGCCTCGGTGTGTGTGGTCTCTGTATGTGTTGTCTCGGTGTGGAGGGAGGAGGCGGAGGCGGCGGGAAGCGGGAGGAGGAGGCGGCGGGAAGCGGGATGAGACATAGAAAAGAAGAACCCCACACTAAGATGTGGAGAAAAAACTCAGCGCGGACGCAGAACAGGTCCAGCAGAAGTTGGTGCTAAGTCCACGACAGGAAGCCATTTGCATGGATTTGCGAGCGGACTTCCTGAGCTCCAATTTACCCAATCACCAAATCCCTCCCCACGGAACCTGCGAGACTCTCTGTTGTTTGAAGCAGTGAATCTTCAGCGACCTTGGGTGTTCCTTCTCTTCAGCCTGAGGACGCTTGGGTGTTGCAGCCAGTTCTGATAGGCTGCTTCCAGCAGCACGCTGACCTTTGGGGAGAAGCCCAGCCAATGGTTTTGGCCTTCCTCAAACTCCCAATAAGCCTCAGCATGGATTGCTTCAGCCAAATCAGTTGTCAAAATGATTCAATTGATTGAATTGCAAAAGTTTCTCAACGTGTGCCCTGCAGTGCCTTCACCAACGTCTTGTTCTGCTCCAACTGCCGCTGCTGTGCTACGCCGTTGCTCTTCACTCCAGGCGCCGTAGGAGGTGCAAAGGCCAGGCAGTAGGGGCAGCTCATGGCACAAAAGTGCTTGAGCAATCCGAAAAAAGGATGATGTATGACTTAGAATTACGCTCCGTGACGATTCTGGAGTTGAAATTGGCTTGCGGTCCATGCAAATCTGCAGAGCATGTTTAACATACTTCTGAACCAAGTACTCTAGAAAAGGCCATCCATTGAGCTCCACAAATCCGCCATTGATGAGATCGATCGCCTGTTATGCAAATCAAAAAGCTGCGCAAGGAATCACAAGTCTGTTCAATTATATATACAATTTGGAAGATTCCACGCTTGTCGAGCTCACTCCATAGCTACGATAGCGTGTAATACAATGCTTTTGCTAACCTCTGTTTGGCGCTCCTTTTTGACGATTGGGCCGATGACGTCCGGCGTCCGTTGCGCCAGGTCCCAAGTGTCACTGAGGACACTCTCTGTTGAGCAGATTTGATGTCCAAATGCGATTTGACAACGTCATTTCAGCTTCATGCACAACTTGCCCAGGTTCAGAAAGTTGGCGATTCACTGCAACTGTTGGATGTAACAAACAAACTATATATAATTATATAAGTTCGAGTAACTTTTGTCCAGTGTTTCCCCAAGGATGTAGGATATTGAAGGCACCATCGGCTCTGTGCTTTGCTCATCTCTATTGGCAGCTACAAGAGCGGCCTCTACTTTGGAGGTATCTCCTGAGAGAGGGCTTGCCCCAAGCAGTGCCTTTGGGCAGAGCTTGAGAGCAATGCCAGTTCAGCAAAATCGAAGACATTCCTTTTCTGTCCTAATCAGTCAGTTCCAACGAAGACGTCTGCGCCTTACATCTTGCTCAGTCTCATCCGAACACCTACCGATCCGGAGAACTCAGGAGATACGAGTGCTTTGAGGCACCCTCCACCGTCTCGTGCGGCAAGGAAAATGAAAACAAATCTCGAAATCTCGGCTATCTTTTGATTCTCTATGCTCTCGTCTCTGCTTGTTTCCCTTGCAGGTCGACACCACACACCATTGTAACACTGAATATGGAAAGTTTTGTTGAAACAATCATTGTTTGGAAACTTTGCAAGCAGAGAAACCAGCGCCCTGGCACTCAAGAGTAACACAAAGGTGTGCGTACACATCCATCATGACTCATACGGGCACTGAGTTGGTTGAGAATCAACGAGTACTAATACTCAGTAGTCACTAGTCGGAACGTCGTGTCGGGTGCATCTGAGGACGTTGGCAAAAGCTTGTCATCTGCCAATCGTCCCTTTCGAGCATAGGTCATCTGATCATGTAGGTCAATATCGTGCGCTTCTTTACTATGCTGTCCATGCAGCTGCGATTCAAACAGTTAGCTTTGAGCAGCTTTGGCTAGGGTCCCAAGTTGCCTCTTTTGGCAGGCTGCATGGCAGGTATTGCATTAGCTGTTGCACTTCGTGCTCGCTGAAAATGCAGGTGAGATTTGGGTGCAGTGCCCAAACCTTCGCCCTCTCAGGCAGACACACGGCCCTTGGTCTTTGGCTCCGGGAAAGACTCAAAGTTGCCTGTCATCGATCTGAAAGTCAAAATCATCTGTTGACTACGCATATGTTTGTCCTCTCAGACAAGGAAACTCCCATCTAGACCTTCGTTGGTATGGACCATAACCCTGCTTCCCCAATTCCTCGCCTCCTTCGTCAAATAACCGAAGCTCTGTCAGCACTATGGGGCTGTCGATGCCCTGACAGTTGACAGTGCTGGGGGAATGACGGATCTATACATGTGTTTTTAACAATCGGATAATGCACGCGGTGATACCATCAGGCCATCATGCCCAAACCTTGGAAACCCGGGATCAAGAAGCTTCATGTGCCCTTAGTCTCTTAAATTCTGCTAATATCAATCGACCCCCCGACCTTCAGTGCATAAGCACCCAAGCGCTGGAGTGACCAACCTGCCGAACAAATGAAGAGATATGCAACATGTACATGACCTGCGCACATGTTGATTCCCAGCAAACACAGCACTCTCAGATCAACCTACACAACCACGATGCAAATAACTGACAAAAGACTGTCACGACTAAAGCCAAAACTGCAAATGCAACGGATAACCAGGTTTATCTGTATATGTATACATATTGTAAGCATCCAGCTACTATTTCTGCACGTTGTGTGTGCGCGCAATCTGTGGAACGTTTCCAGCTCGGGCCTGGCACGGCTGACTGTTGAGGGGCTGGTGAGACCGGCTGTGGCTGGATCGGTGGCTGCATCGGCTGCGGTTGCATGGGCAGCGACTGCACAGGGTGCTGAACCTGCTGCCCAGGTTGCCCAACCTTCCATCCTGTGATGCCAGGATGCCTCAGCATCAAAGCTCAGCCTCCCCAACGCATCAGATCCAAATGAAATATAATGAAATCAGAGCAAGTCCGCACGTTGTAAATATTCAACTGCTCAATCTCCATGGTGGGTCCCAGGTTGGCAAGGTCAGTTTGTGCCAGCTGCAATTTTTGCTAGACCGCTCGCAGGGTGAGCGCCGGAGAGGGTTGAGTTTGAGGTGCTAGTACGTCAGAGTTCTGCAACTACCTTGCTCCCACCTTTTTCAGCCCATGGTGGGTCACAGCCAGTTGCATTCCGACCAACGATGTCACCTTCATGCTCCTTTTGGCTAGCGGGCAGTACCGCTTTGGAGGAGGCATCTTGAGGTTGGTGTACTCACACGGTTCAACATACAGAAAACGGTGCATAGGCCACATAGGAACGAGATGCACCTGTGGTTGCTATGGCCGTATTTTCCAGGTACAGTGGAAAAGCTTCGAATTTGTTTGGGCGTCCAATTTCGCTGTTTGATGCACCTTGGGTTCTTTGATTGCTAAAATGCAATAAGGGTAGGCTTGGAGCCGGAGCCGAACGCCGAGGAGCCAAGCCAAAAAGTGGGAAGGTTCGAGGAGCCAAGCAAACAGGAGGGGAAGGCACAAATGAAAGGCAGAGCCAGCAAACGGATCAACGGATGGCAATGCAATGGGCAAGACAGGTGTCGAGAGGGTAGCAAGGTACCAAAAGCTATCAAAAGGGAAAGATTCTCGAGAACAGCACCCTAAGTCAGCTTCCACTCCTTGAGCTTGAGGTGCAAGTACGTAACTACAGTTCTTCAGGCAGAAATACCTGGCAAGGAAGACCTTGTGAAAAGCAGTTTGCCTTTGAAGAGAGCCAACGCGAGGAGCTGCGTTTGTCACCCCCTACTTTCACACCTTCGCCCCCAAAGCGGCAAATGTTCTTCAAAGCCTGCCCTGACTAAATTTTAGTAGTGGCGCCTGCCTGCTTAATTAGTCAAGTATATAAGTGGAGTTTGGCTCGCTAAGCTTCATGAAGTAAGGGGTAGCATTAGCTAAACTTGCAAGCTACTACCTACTGGAGCTATTCATTTGTAGATTTTTGGGAAACATGTCTGTTTCTCTCTCAATTCATTTCTATATCGACTCATATCTCTGGACCTGCTCAAATGCCCATGTTGCCGAGGTTCTGCTGTTGCACAGGAGTTGGCTGCACCCCTGGAGTCGGCTGCGGGATCATTTGTGGATAGCCTCGCCACCGACGAAGCATGTGGCGAAAAGGTCTGTGGAGTTACAGTCTGCTAGCAACCTCTGTTAGTGTGTATGACTGGTTGTTCATGACCTAACTTGCGCAAAGCACAATGGACCATGAGCGTGATGCAACCTAGGAGTTGTTGAATCAAAAAACACATTTGGATCGAAAGCCCTTGTGTGCAAATCATGCTCCGATCCTGGCAATTTCGGCGGTTGTTGCCACTGCAACCCTGGCAGGCGGCCAGTGGCACTCGGATCTATCGGGGTGTCGCCACCCAAGAGCACCTGTGCATCAAAACCAAGAACGCTAAAAGGCTTTGAGAGGCTTTGAGAGGCTTTGAGAGCCTGAAGTTACCCCTTTCCTTTTCTGTTCTTTGTTCAACTTTGTTCCTCTCGTTTCTCTTCTTGTTGTGCTCCCCTGTTAATTTTTGGCTATGGTATGTTCTTTCGATGCAAAGAAAGTAAGATCCGAAAGCACGCAAAATGTGCGTTCATGTGTGTTCCTTACGACTCGCCGGCCTGTCCCGGGTGGGCAGCGGCTGCGATGCGAGCGGTGCGGTTCACTATGGTGCCAAAGTAGTCGGCCTCGGCCAAACAGTGGGTACAAGTGGATTAATACGGACACACCGGATACACCAAGCTAGTATCAAACTCCATGCAGTGATGTGCAGTGCATATCAGCTACTTCTTGTCGCAATTGCATGCCCATTCGCTACATTGGCCTCCAAATTCTTGATCCGTGAGTGAGGATGCCATACAAAGAAGGCAAATTAGGACGTCTTCGGCACATGTTTTACAAATTGCAGCGTTTTGCCCTGGTTTCACTTCCTTTGTCAGCCTTTACTTCTTCACCAACAGCACAGCCAGGGAACTCGTCCAGTCGATGCGTGTGGTCTTCTGGATGTGTAGCCACCACTAAGTGCCTCAGAGCATTTCATCAGACTTCAGAAATGGATGCATTTAACGCATGGAACATAAGAGTTCCAAACTGCACTGCTCATATGCCATGGCACTCCTATTGAGACCCGAAGCCCACGAGCCGTGGTCGGACCTATGCTCATTGTCACTGCAGAATGACCACTGAAACTCGACGATACTTCACACGAACTCATCTGCTTGGACATGTGGAGTCATCGTCCGAAGATGGTCCGTGTACCAAAAATACAGTCCACACCCCTCAACAAACCCTAATGGACAGCTTTGACAAACTCTAATTCTGGTGACTCGAACATCAACCTGTCGCGGTTCATGTGTCAGATATCTGTGCCCAGCCTCTTTGCTTGAGACCGTCCGGCCAAGGCAAGTGAGGCAACTTCCTCTGCAGGAGGATCGAGAAGACGGCGGCATCCACCATGTTGGCAAATGCCAGCCTTGTGAGTGAGTGTGGAAAGCTTCACAGGTATGTACGTCATTTCGTCACCTGCGGAAATCTAGTATTTTTGCAGAAAAGGTGCATGAATGCACCTTCGTCTTCTTGGCATTCATATCCACTCCCGTCGCCCGCATTTCGGAGCACTTCCCGCAAGTAGCCACGCCTGCGGAAACACGTGAAAACCGGATGTCTGATGGTTTTTGGGTCTCAGGTGTGTCTGGTTCGGGGTGGACGACCACTCTAAGGCTCTGACAGAAGCCCAAGTGATTGGCTTGCAAGCATTGGATCAGTGGCGACCAGTTCACGAGCCCCCCTGGGTGAAAACGAAGCAGAGGGTGATGGATGGCCTTGGACTCCAGGAATCTCAAAGGGTCTCAAACTCAGACTGTCCGTAGGTGCACTGTGACAGCTAAGAATCAGGCCCTGCAGGAGACTCCACAAACCCTGGTAGGATTTGTTGCTCGCTGTCTATTGGAGGAAAGACTCGACCACCAGTGAAGGTAGATGCATCCGCAGAATCCTCACCTCACCAGAAAGTCATCCGGCTAACTGATTTTCACCAACAGCATCCGTTTAGTCATTCAATCTCCTTGTTCGCTGTCAAGTCGCACGAATATGCGTGAGCCTGCTCATGTGCCACTAGTTGAATTAATTGCACTTTCGCACGGCCCGCACATCCAGTTCTGGATGCATCTTCTGTCAGGCCATGCCCCTCCAAAATGTGCTCTCCCAGGTCAACAACCTTCAGGGTTGATTTGAAGGCCAACAAGAGCTTGTGAAAAGCCGAAATGACCCCTTCTACCTATCCGTTGAATGGGTGGGAAGTTACTTGAATACGGTTTGAACAGTGGCAGTTTCACGAGAGCGACTCCATCATGATTTGGTTGGGATGTTGTGGCCTGGGGACTGCCAAGCACAGTCAGCAAGCCATCAATCAGGTAGAAGCTGCTTGCAGACAAAATGATCTGCCCTCCGTGGCAGACGCCCTGATCAGGGCTCTAAGTGTCTTGCTCTTGCACACTGGGTCCGTGAGATGACCACCATAGGCCGTTTAGGCATGGAAATAGTTCTCAAAAAATGTCAAACGTTATGTCATGGATGCCCATCGTTCATGTGAGACTTTTGTAGACAGGCCTCAATCGCCTTGGCCATAGCTACACTTGGTCCTGCATATCTCCAGCGGCCAGTAACCTTCCGAACGTTGACTGCATCAACAAGCATCCATAAACTGGAAGCACTCATATATATATATATATGCTAACCCCCCCCAAAAAAAAAACAGCGTTTTCAAACAAATTTCTTGCTTGTATGTGAGAGTTGTCCTTGATGGTAAAGCAGATGTATTGAAAGCAGATTTGTTCTTGATGGCCAAGCAGATGTACAACAGATGAAGCCTTTGGATGCAATGGCACAAACAGCTCACTTTGCCTTGCAGATCTCATCAGCGATCAAAGTGCACTACGCTGTTCTTAGGAAATTTTTCATTTCCCAAGTGCACACGCTACCCAAAGATCTTTCTGTCTATACCAGCACAGGTACTGCGCCGAACGCAATTTGGAGCGAAGGCGCTTCAAGCCTGCTGTACAGTTCTGGTTCAAGACAATCCGATCATTGAGATATCGCCAGGCCCGGTCGATGACCTGAGTGCCGGCTTTGACCTTCAGAACCGTCTTAGTGCCAGGCACTTTGTGCGTAGCAATACGAACATACTTTTCAAGCTGCCACCTCCACTTGCCCTTGACCTTGATGTGCTTCTGCAGTGCACCACATTGTCGTGCAAGACGCCAGGGACTCGGGCTCGATCGGCATCTGTGTGAAGGATCACCTTTTTGTTTTGAAGCCATTTTTCGGCAATGGGTTTCCATTCCACTTTCCGGATGGCCCCTGGCCCTGGAGCTCGAGCAGCAGCCAATGCAGGCGTCAGACGATGGAGCACAAGAGTCTCGGGGTGTCCACGCTTCACCAACCCACACCATTGCTCCCACAAGACACACTTGGATGGGTCTGGAGCATCTGTTGCTAGGTCTTTCCTGTCAAAAGTGGCTTCCTCAGCCTCCACATCGCTCCAGGGCTTTCCAGCCCCGAAGTCAATCTCCTTTTCCTTTGTCTCCACCCATTTCATACGCAAGTCGCAGAGAAGAGTCTCCCACTCTTCAATGACCTTGTGATTGACGCCCAAGAGCCGGTGAATGATGGTGGTATATATACCCCACCTTGCTATTTTTTATATACCCTACCTTGCAAAAACACTGGCAGGCTCAAAAAAATCAAACATTTATACACCCCCCAGACCCCCCATAGATCCTAAAACTTTTGTTATTTTTTATTTGTTTGAGCCTGCCAGGGTTTTGTGACTAGGGCCTTTTGAAATTTTGGCGTTTTTTGAGCCTGCCAGTGGTTTTTTCAATTTTTGGTCTACCCCACCTTGCAAAAACGCTGGCAGGCTCAAAAAAATCAACTCCCCCAGAGCCCCCATAGATACCAAGATTTTGATGTTTTTTATTTGTTTGAGCCTGCCAGGGTTTTGTGACTATGGCCTTTTGAAATTGTTGATTTGTTTGAGCCTGCCAGTGTTTTTGCAATGTTTGGTCTACCCCACCTTGCCAAAATGCTGGCAGGCTCAAAAAAAATATACCACCAGTATATAGTTTATATTAAATATATATATATATATATTTGATCAGATGTAGGAGGATGTTCATTTAGCATTTTGGTCAGACGCCACATGCACATTGCAGATTCAGATTTGTTGGTACCCCCCACCTCCCCTATTTGTCTGAAAGTGTTGGTTTTGGGGGGGGTACCATATATATATGTATATACACACAATATAAATATTAAAGTTGTAAATACATCTCTTGCAAGAGAGAGGAATCAGTGCTGTCACTCCACCGTGTTGTGGCACACACTGCATGCTAAAAATGAAGTTTACCATTAAACAATTGCTTTGGCAATGGTTTGAGCCTTTTTCCCTTTGCCTTTGTTTTCAACTGTATGGTGTCTGGCCGGCCTCATGTTTGGTGACAGAGGCTGGCCGCCCTGAGTGCAGACCCATACGCACGCGAAGGCCTCTCCATGCATCATCACTGGCCTTGGAAGCGTAAGATTGAGTGAACGATTACAGCACCCGTATAGAACCGCTCGTTTGATGCCTTCGTCATGATCACCTCCAACAGTGCAAATCCCTCTCAAAATCTGGTTGACATTGAGTATTTCTCAGCATGCTGCAGCAGCATCTGGGTGCGATAGTGTGGCAGCTGGCCAGTCACAGCGCAGCAGCTCTGCCTAACAGAGTGTAAAAAGCGCAGAGCTATGTTTGTCTTTGTCTGACATGTTCTGCGAAGAGCGACCAACAATCAGAGCAAAAAGCGAGCAGCCCTGGCGGGGAAATCCGATGAACTCTATTATATACTCTATTGCAGCAGCATCGTGTCAATCAAAAGTTCACCTGAAAAAGTGCTCATGAAACTCTGGCCTGTGTGTCCAAGCAGAAAGCCACTGCATCGCACGTGTCATGAAAGGCAATCTGGAAAGCGTCTCCTTCTGTTGTCACCTTAAGAGGCAACAAAAAGGGCGGCATGCGCAGAACATAACAAACACAGGGATTCACCGACACCCGCACCAATCTCGCCTCATAGCCACTATGCTTTGCTAAGACCTGTCGAATGGTCGCATCGTGAAGCCTCAATGCCAGTTCCATGGCCCGAGGATTGGCTTCCCAAAGAGACGTGGAGCCTGACAGCTTCGCACAACCTCCTAGCTGCTCCCGCGTGTTTTCAAACCACCCTACAAAAAATGATATTTTGGTGAAACATGAACGTTATGGCCTCTATTCGTCTATGGCCTATTTTGCTTCTTCAGGTTCCCTGCCTTGCACGTCTGTGAAAACCATTGTAAAGTCGTCCGTCTTCCCTTGAGGAGGTTTGCTCTTCGCGGTGATGGCCAACCGCTGTCTGGGCGGAGCCTATCGATGGAGCTCAAACAGTGGTTTCATAATTGTCAAGACCAAAACATCCAAATGCAATCAAATTGGTCAAGGTTGCATAATTAGAGACGACATGATATGATCAGAAACACTGGGCCTTTTGAGAGACTGGCCGCTCAGGTCTTGTCCCAGCTCCTGTGGGACTGATCTCTGCGATTTTGGTCACCACCATATCCTCGATCCATAAATAGTTGTGAGTTTACACAAATCCTGTCAAACATGTGTATATATACATATACATGTGCATATTACATATTGATTGATCATATCAACTCTTCCATTCAAGCTCGGCCAAGCTTCTGGGAGCCGGTCTTCTTCATCCGGACGGAGCCCAGAGCTCCACAGCTGATCAAAGCTGCTTCTGGTGGTACTGTCAGGACCTCTCCAGATTCACGAGAACAAATCCAGCAACAGCAGTCATCACTACTTTTATCAGAATGCGGACATTTTAAACATTTTGATAAGCTGGTAAACTATGAGCCACAACTACCAGTTCTCATTGACTCATACTGCAACAGCAAAATGTCCATACTTTTGCCCAGATCAGGAAATGGCCTCCATAGAGATGGGTTCCAGTGTATGTGCTCTTGTCATCAAAGAATCGCACATAGTCTGCTTGTGTACCGGCATGCAAAACGCCCTCTGATTCTGCAACACGACGAAAAATGTAATCCTCATCGACTCCCTTCTTTTGCGCGATCATTCCCAGTGCCACTTCAAACTGATGCAAGGTGATCCGACGGTGACCCTTGGTAACCACTTTTGCGAAGACCAGGTCTACGTCGATCTGCGTGAAGATGTTATCCACAATTTCACAATCCTTGCACAGCTTGACGAAGCTCTTGCCATCCAAGTCAGGTTTGTTTGCACAGTAGGCTCTGAAAGTATCCTGCAAAGGCAAACACAACAAGTTACTGCAGTAATTCATACTTAGCAACGATAAGGACAAATGACAAGTGCAAAACGACTCATAATGAGTACCACTACCAATTGAATAGATGTTACATGAATATTGCCAACCTCCACTGTTCCATCTTTTCCCCGCAACTGCTGGGCAATCTTCTTCTCGCTGAGGCTTCCCGCTCGACCCGCGATCCGCTTGTCTGAATCGAGGATTGTTGACATTGTTGACCCAAGTGCCGGCAAGCTCATCACCGTCTCAAAGGGATCCCTTGGGGAATTGGGGACAGTTGAGCTGGTCGGTGACGTTGAGGACCACGTCCTCATCCAGTTTCTGTTGTCCAAGAGTCTCTGAAGAGGATTGTGTTTTGGTTCTTTCATGTGTCTTCCATGTTCCAAGGACGCTACTAGGAGCAAAGGGCATCGCTACTAGGAGCAAGGACGCTACTAGGGGCTCCTGGCCTTACTAGTAACAAGAAGCTATTAGGAAAAAAAATTAGAATTAGTATCCATTTCTCCCTTTCAATCGAAGTGAACTGAGAGCTCGACAATGTGCCCCGGCCTTTCCGGCCAGGGTCTGGCCCTCCCTCCTTGTGCGTTCCAGTGTAGGTGCTCTTGTCGTCATAGAAGCGCACGGTTTCTGCTTTTGTGCTTGTGAGAACAGGCCCACCACAACACCTAGAACGGCATCACTTGCCATCCCGGGAATATAGAGCGCTCACAAAACAAACACCCAAACTCCAGACCTTACTCTGTGGAATACCAACAAATACATGCGGATACATAGAACGTACAGCCACAAGTGCACCTCACATGAGACCATACGTCTTCCAGCGTGGTATTCTTCTGCTTTGCGATGAGCTCCAGAGCTGCATCAAACTGCTCCAGCCCAATGCGCCGGTTTCCCTTCCTTGGCACAGAACATACAAAAGAAAAGTGCTCATACAAGGATCTTCAGCCTGCTAGAACCACCAAGTTGGCCAAGAGGCTGAAGCACCTTGGCAAAAATGATGTCAACATCGGTTTTGGTCAATGACCTGTCTACCATATTGGCATCCTGAACAAGCAGAATAGGCCACAGTTGAGATTGCACAGCGGGTTCTGAAACTCGACGCTGCAACAAACAAGTCTTGCAAAGTCCTTGCAAAGCTTTGCAAAGGTCTTCCCATCCATGCCTCCCACAAATTGCCATCCGACAAAACATCAATCAAACAGGTCATTCATAAGCCCAGCCCTGCCTGGCTTGATGCCGCAGAAGGCCTTGAAGGTTCTTTCCACAGTTCCCCATGCCCGAGGAACTTCGATGTCTTCAGTTTCTTCTGATATACTAACACCTCATGGAGCTGCAAAATCAATGGACGCGGCATAAAGTGCATGGCATTAAGATCAACTTTGCAATTGGACTGGGCATGGCACGGCGGCGACTTCTTGCCGTCTCACTACTGTAGTTGCTGCAGGCAGAGACACTCGGCGGTGAGTGCTCATCATCGGTACCTCGGTACGGCTTCTGCGAAGCTAAGAGCTTTCGCACCGGAGAGCGCACATTGAGCGAAAGCTCTGAGCTTCCGTGCCACTTGGAGATGTCTGTGCGGCACCTGAAGACGTCTGCAACTGAATGAGTTTTCGTCATGATGTCTGAGTGTGACTGAGCTGTGCACAGGCTGGTGATCGCGGGGTCGTTTTAGCCCGGCTTTCAGCAGACTTTGCCGTTTCCACCTTAGAGGTCAACCTCATCAACCTGTTTTGATTCGTTATTACGTGATTCGTAGAGATTCTACATGAAGTGTGGTAACTCTCATCAAAGGCACAGAGCTGCTCCTGGAATTGACACCCAATCGCGGTGGCAGCAACAAAGGCGACGATTGAGCCTCGCAAAGACCCATGAAAGAAACTTGTGACCACAGAACGAAGAGAGATTGACAGGTTCTCCCTTTTGTGGACGGATAAGCACCCTTCAACGGTCTTGCAGGGCGTGGTTCTCCCGAAAAAGGCACCAAGAACCAAAAGGCTGCCAGCCTGTTTCTTCATCAATGTTCTTCGTCGCGCAAGTTCAGCACCAGCAGCTGTCTTTGGTTGTGGTGTAGGAGATGTGTTTCGCATTCCTGACAAAGGCAGTGTCCTTCCATCAACATATTCCTAGATGTGCTTCCTTCAGGCTGACACGATGACTTCGGCGAAACACGTGTCACTTTGTCCCTGTCCAGAAAGTGGCTCGGAGTGCGTTCCACATTCCACAATGGCACCTTGGTATGCAATGGGTTATGTTGCTGAAGGCAATGAATGGGCCAACCATGCTTGCAAATCTGCAGGCAAGCTGCTTCTTGTGACAGGCTCACATATCAACGCCTGAAAGCATCTATATATGCTATGCCGCCTAGCTCATAGTGGTGCAGGTTCCCGAACAATCGGGAAGCCACGTGACACGACGCGGCATGTGAAATCTAGACTTTATCACACCTCATCAGAGTCCTCAGGCAGACTCCGTGAACGCACAGGGACGACCTGGCAAAATATGCGAGCATGATCCAATCCAAGAAATCAGTGTGCTCTTCCAAAATGAGGGCGAGCCTAAAGGCAAAGTGGGATTTGGAAGAATGTGCAACGAAGAAAATGTTCAATCATTCCAACCCATGCAAGCACCGCCTTGTCCGGGCTCCGGTTGACACTTCTGGAAGGGCTGGGACTAGTCCTGGAGCCGCCCCGATCTGGACAGCCAGGGAGCCGCCGTGGGAGGGCCTCCTGGCAGTGTGTGCAAGCGCTAAGTGGCACTAAATGGACATTGCGAAGTGGCTCAGAATACTGCAGGATCCAAGAGTTTTTGTTGTCTGAGAAAGAAAATGTCCTATTGAACCTGGGAACTGTCTCTTGCAGCGAGGGTTCTTCAAGAAAGCTTCTCCCACCCCTGAGGCCAGGGGAAGCTTCCTTCAAGAAGCACGACTTTTCTTGCCTGTTCCCTGCTTCAAGCAAAAATAAATAGATCGGCAAATCCAGGTCTTTGGGGTCCGTATCTCTTGCTAACTTCTCCACACGTCTCCTTGTGCTGCAGCGGCTTCACCTCACCAGCCATGGTCATGCTCCTAAATCTCCCGACCAAAAACAACTTTGGGTTGCCTCAACTGGGCTTCCGGTTTGGAAATCAAACAAGATAGTGCAGCCCCAAGATGGAGCCACCCCACAAGCAAGAATTTAAACAGGAAGAAGATGCAGATTTGTTTCAGAATAATATGATAAAATGAATTCACAGGTGGTTCTTTTCCAAGGTGCCCTGCCTGGACGCACTGTACTGTAACCTGACCGGACACTTCGTCCGTTTCGTCACGGTTTCGTCCGCTTCGAAGCAAACAACCGTGGCGTCCGCTTTCGGAGCTCCGAGGCTCCAACTGCAACTTGTGGCCGCATGGATGGAGCGCTGGAGCCCCTCTACCGACAATGCTACCAAAACCCACGCGGCGAAGTGAAATACGCCGTGCACAATTGTTTGCACCTTTAGTTGCCTTCAGTCCAATTGCAAAACACTGTGAAAGAAAGACTCAGAGTCCAGATGAATGTTGGAGGAATAGTTGGTTGGTGTCTGTTCCTGTTGTCAGTCTCACATTCCTATTCCGGGTCCTTTCACTCGATGTTCCAAACAAACCAACACATCCCCAGCAGACCCATAACTTTTGTTTGGCATCCGCTTGCTTTGCTTCTGCAGGCTCTCAACCTTGCAGCACAGCAATTTATCCACTGGCTGCCAAGTGCTTCCAAGTTTGGGGCCCAGGGTTTCAAAGCTTTGGAGAGCTCTGCCTGCGCAGAAGAATTTAAAGTTTGACATTCCTAGAGCAAAGGATGCAAATGACTCTGCAAATGAAAAGAAATCCTGCCGTGCCTGGAAGCCAAGCCAATCGGGTGCTGCCCCAGAGCGCTGGCTGTAGCGGCAGATTGCCTCCACCTCTTCAGACCAGCAGCGAATGTCCATCGGCGTATCCCTGGCCAAACCAAAAAGAGCTTCCTAAAGTGCTCTACAAAAGAAAACCTTTTTTAAGCCAGCCCTTACTTACTTGATTATGTAAGCAAGGAAGTAAGCTACTGGCTACTTATATGAGCTAGTACATATGGACGCAGGATAGCTTGCGCTTCCTCAAGGAAGCTCCCCCGCCTGAGGGCCGGGGGGCTTCCTTGAAGAAGCACTCGCCATAATGAGTTGGTTCCTGGATTCTTACGAAAACTTAACTCCTGTGGCTTTGGCTTTCCCTTTGGCTTCCCCACCTCCGAAGGATCCTGCCAAGTGCCGCTTCCAACCTGATATGACCCAGTGCCCAATTCGGTCAACTCAACTTTGCTGCTTGGCTTCCTACCTTGGCACGCACAGTTCTCCAATGAGAACCCAATCCAATACGACAGGCTCATGGGAGAACTCAAACCTGGGCACAAAGACTTCACAAAGACACAACGCCAGTAACTCCAAAAAAAGCATCTGAATTTCCTTTAGCACATGCTGCAAGCTCCCCCAAAAGCTTGTTACTGCTCACATGAACTGACCTTCAAGGAGTCCAGGTCCTCCCGCACGGCGAGTCCTTTTGCAAACTGCGAGGGCTCGCAACCTCCACTTGATGGAGCCGGAAGGTCCCCGAGTTTCTATGGTACGTTGTCGATATTTTGATGCTCTCACCTAGCTCTGAGGCTGCCTCATGAGAAACTCAAGCTCTTTGATTCGGGCATCCTTCTTGGCGATCTCCACCTCCAAGCGTGAAATATCTGAGCCATACTTCTTGGAGCTTTCAGTCAGTTGCTGTTGCAGCATCTGCAAGCGCTGCTCTGCTGCCAAACAGCGCTGTTCCCACTCGAAGCGCTTCGCCTCCACATGAGCCAACTGTTCTTGTTCTGCCTCACTTAGTGCATGAGGTACCGGATCAGCTGCTGGTGATACAGCTGACACAGCTGCCACTGGAGCTGGAGCTGCTGGAGCCGAAGGGCCCACAGGGCCCTGGAAGCCTTCGCGTGGCTCCTGCAGCCTGAAACGACCATCGGAAGCCCCTGATGCCGATTTCGCCTGAAGCTCAGAGGCCAACTTTTGCAAGCGGGAAATCTCTGCATCTTTCTGTGCAAGGCTTACCTTCAGCTCCTGGGCTTCATCATTGGTGGAATCCTGGCGTTTTTTGGTCAGCAAGCCAGTGCAACGCTCACGTAACTTCAAATTTTCTGTTTTGAGCCTTTCGATATCAACCTGCACTTTTTGCGCCTTTTGAACCTCCTGCAGGGAATTCTCAAGGATCTTCTCCAGTTTGCCAATCACCTTTTCCTGAGTCTTGGCCGTTTGACGGTAGGTCTCCAACTTCTTGCCTTCCTCTTGCAAACGCTGCAATTCTCGGTTCTGTTCCAAGTGCACTTGTTGAAGCTCATCAAGGGAGCGCTCCAGTCCATTGACTCGATTCACCTCCTTGACCATATCCTCCAATCGCCGACCCAATTCGGCTCCTTTGGCTTTCTCCTCTCGGTACTTCTCTACAGTTCTCTGCAGTTTTCCAGCAAGCTCAGCAGCGCTCATGTGTTCTAAACCTTCTGGAGGAGGTCGATGCTGAACGGCTTCTGCAAGCTTTTCTTCATCCTCAATCTGTGAACGCAAAGACTTATTATCGTTCTTCAACACTTGTACTTGCCGCCGGAGTGCGACGATCTCTTCCCCAGCACGCTTCAAGGCTGCCGCTCGTAGATTGAACTCTTTGGAGAGTTGAACAGACAGTTCATGATTGAGCCTGAAGTCCTTTGCTTCTTGCTCCAATGCAACCGAAACTGATCCATGAGCTGCACCTGGAGCGCTTGGAGCAAGAGCTGGGGCCATAGATGGACGTTGTGGCGAGGATGAGACTCCACCTCGTGGCCAAATACGAAGCTCCAGCTCTAAGCAAGTAGATGCACCGGGCGCCTCCAAAAGCCTCAAGTCTGACAAGAAGGACCTGGACATTGGATCTGATCCCGATTGTATCAAAGCAGTGGCATCCAATGAGGCAAAACCAAGTAGTCTTCCACAGAGCGGTGCATCCGGGTCCGTCGATGCGCGGGAGCAATCGAACAGGAGAAGCGCCAAGCTGCGAAGGGCTGCGGGGTTCGCTAGGCAACGGACAACAAACTGGTTCCACTGCGGAGTTTGGGAAGAAGCCGAACCACTTGCCACTGGAGTAAGGAAGCACTTCAAGCCACTTGTGGCTGCAAAGTGCGTTTCTAGAAAGCTCGAGAGCTCAACTCTCTGATCGTAGAAGAACGTCACCATTGGTATCTGCAGGCTCCTGGTATCGAATCCAATGGAGGACTCAGGGCAAATCGCTAATAGAGGATCATCCACAGCGTCAGGCAAAGGTCGGCCAGCAGGTACCCCATGTACCCTGACTTCTACACCATGTGAGAGGCCATCTGCAAGAGCATCCAAGGTCTCATGAGCAGGTTCCCTGGTGATGGACACCACAAGTCCAGGGCGCGGCCGCGAGTATGCAGCAGCAGTGCTTGACGACCTGGCATAAAGATGCACCGGACAAAGCATGGGCATGGTAACTGGTGTCCACTGTAGGTTCAGCAGAGCGTCTGTTGAAACACCATCTGGAGTCCCAGAAACCATCTCCAAGGCAAGTCCAACTAGCAACCCTGGCGACGCTGATGCTGAGGGCAACGGCACTATGATTTCCTGGTTAAACCAGACTTCCCCAAGCGTGCCGCTGAGCGGTACTGCTTTGAGACTTCGTGAGGCTGTTTCATGCATCACATGCCCTCCTGGCTGCAGCAGTCTGACTGCCACTCGGAAAACACAATGAGAGCTCTCTGCCAGAATTGGCAACGCATCTGCGCGGTGCACAAGCACTCGAAGGCGGCTTTCAAAAGGCCTGGCCTGCCAAAGGGATCTATCTAGGGACGGAGCCAGTGCTGATTCAATCGTGTGTGGTTTCAAAGACTTTGCCTCTTCTGGATTGAGTGCTTTCACCTGCATTACAAGAGTGCTGCGTCCAACAGTGAGCTCTTTGTTCTCCGAGCTTCGAGTAAAACTCACATTCCGAACCAACCTCTTCGACCCCGTCCCGTTCTCCAAGATCTTCAGCTCCTCCAAGCTCACGAGGCCACTGCCCAGAAGCTTGGCTGTTGGAGCATCTGGATTGGAGGGATCAATGACATTCAGAAAAGCAGAGACCCTGAGCTTCTCCTTCACCAAGTCCCCATCTGCCGAAAGCAAAAGAGTGCTGCTGGCAAAAACAGGACGCTCTGCTGGTAAGGAGACATCTGTGCGACGCTTCTCTGCATGGCCTTCCAACTGCACCTCCAAGAAGTATGCAAATGCACTGGCAAACTCACACTCACCTACTGTGATGTCCAGCACCCAACTTGTGGTTATGGGGCCCTTGCTGAGCAAACTCTCATTCTGACGGCGCAGATCGTCCATGGCCTTGCGGCTGTCATCAAGCTCCTGCTCCAAGGCTTCCTTCTCCTTTCGGAGTTGTTCCTCCAATGTTGGCGCATCTGGCGCGGCATCACCACCTTTGGGCGCCTCCGGTCCTTCAGGCACAGGCGGTGCATGCGGTTCGTCTGGTGCATCTGGACCGGCATCATCTCCGTCAGGTGGCGCCCCATCAGCTCCATCGGATTTGGGCACCTCTGGTGGCGTCTCTTCCGCTTCACCGGATTCGGCCGCATCAGGCATTGGCCCGGAAAGGGAAGACTGCGGTCATGCTGAGTGGCTGAAGGGTCGAAACTTGAGGCTCTAGTGGCTTTTCCGCAAAGTGAGGCCCTCAGATGTAACAGTGTGCAGTGAATGCGAGATTGTTTGAAGTTGAGAGCAACTTAAGACTGGAAGTGCAAGCTGAGGGAAGCACACTTCGTGAATTACAGCCTCGGGTTCATGCGATCAATGGGCCTTCCAAAGAATCATGCTGCATTCACGGCAGGCGGCATCTACAGCGATTGCAGCTTCATGCAGCGCATAGAGAAAAAGAGGCGCCCCCGGGTGTAGAACCTTGGTCTTGCGCTTTCAGCAGTCCTTATGTTAATGATTGAATGAACTGTTTGACTGTAGTTGGCTCAATGTGCCTTGGCCCCCCTTTTCCTGAGCATTTTGAGCAAAGGCACATTATCTGCAAAGATGCGGAGTGATGCTCCTCGTAGGGTTGGCAAGACGGCAGCCAAGTCAGAGGCATAACTTGTGGCTCGGTGGTCCAAGACCTGCGCTGTGATTTAGAGAAGCCACAAGGATGTCTCAGCTTGGAACAACTCAGCTGAACAGTTGGAAGCAAGGGCTGAGAACATCTGAGAACCTCGCGATCAGGTTGGCTCGCTGAAACTTTCCCGAAGCTGCCCTGAGCCATGTGGCTAAGTGGCCAGTCAAAGGGTCACAGAAACAATGCGAAACACATCGTCACATCATTTAACCTTCAGTTTGACCTTTCTTACATACACAAGCTCGTTCACTTGGCCACCTTGGCTAAACCCTGCAAATGCCTCAAATGTCTGATATTGCCATCAAAGGCCGCGACGCATCGCCCTAGTCTTTCCCGCTTACAGCATAAGTTGTTGCACACGTTAGGGACATAATTTGCGCCACAAGCCTTTCCTCACAAAAACAGAACTTATTGGTGTGTACCAAGTGGCCAGTCGGTTGCACGGCCGGTGAGAAGGGTCACCTGCATTGAAACTTAGAATGTACAGCAGCATCACTGATGCTAGTGACTATAGTGATAAATCCAAATCCAGCTCTTCATTTCACCTTGAAGAACATAAAGAAAATGCTCAATCCAGACTGCAAACTGCAATGAGCACCATAAGTATCCCCAGCTGAGTAATGGACAAAATCCATGGTTGTAGGGACCTATTGACGTGGGAGATAGCCCTCTTTACACTACTTTTACATAGAGGAACCAGCGGTGCCACCGAATCAAACCAGTTCAATGTCCAATCCTCAGCTCAGTTCTTCTCATCCTCAGCGGCCTCCTGCTGCCTTGGTGCGGCCCACTGCACCAGTTTTTCAGCAATGAGCACAGTAGCCGCATCTTGATCACAGGTGGTCCTGAGATCCCCAGAGAATAAAGAACTTGCTGAGAGTGGGCAATGAAAAACAAAGAACGAGAGAGAGAGAGAACTGAGAAGTAGTCGATCGTTTATAGTATTTTGTGCTCTCTGTTCTATATAAGTATACAGTAGTCTAATTGTGATGATTCTTGCCCAAAGCATTGGCATTCACTTTGCCAGGGCTCACAGAACCTCCACCTCCAAGTCTTCGTAGTTGCTGAAGCAACAAGAGAGCGGAATATCCCACGTAGCTGCCAAACCTCAGGCTGCAATGGAAGGCAAACCAAGGATCTGGATATCATTTTCCTAAAACTCCCACAGACGTTCTGCGTCTACTTTTTGGTGTTAGCGCCTGCGTCTGGCTCTACAATCTGTGATTCCGAGAAACTCCACAACTGCATCCCCAGGACGGAGACAGTTTTGTAGAAGCCGTGCTTTCGACCCTCCAAGAACCTGCCAGCACAATTTCACCACCCTGTAAACACGAACAAGCTTTTGGTCGCCTTCAACCACTTCACCTTCTGCGCAAAATCTTCTACTGCATGAAGAGCTGCATCCAAGTCCCCCCGAGGAACCTGTCCTTGCACATACCTCGAAAAAAAGTCAGAACGTGTTTTCGAAGATGCTAAGTTGGGACATGCTTCCTACATATCCAGCCCAGGTGCGACAAAAGTTCGATCTCCTTCCAAGATCGCAAACGAACCCATGGTGGTGGAAATGGGCGCTTCACCCCAGATGCCTCGAAAGACAGGACAAAGAGCAGAAAGCCAAGCTGCCAAGCCGTGGAGTCACAAGCCACAGTGGAAAAATGATGTCGGTGCAAGTGTGTGCTCGAAGTCCTGGCCTGGCAGGCCCAAACCACAACACTCCAAAAAGAGCCTCGTCGATCAGAGATCTTCCGACCTGTGGACTTCAACAAAGCGAGTCTTTTCCAACACGGACACCGCAACAATCCGCAACACGGCCACCTCGGAGGATCGTTTGTAGCATCAAAATGCGTTCCCATTGCCCAGCACCCAGGGCCCTGGCAGCAACAAACAGCGTTAAAGAGCGCACGGAGCCCAGAGCTCAGATGTCCAGCCTTGCAGCACAGCGAAAATCCCCAAGTTCGGGCTGAAAGCCTGCTGCCTGGGCGAGAATCTGTGTCAGGTGTCTATATTTGTTTCTGTGATATCATGGTAGATGCACCTCCATGTCTTCGAGCAGTTGAATGGCACCGTGCCAAAAGCCTCCATGCTCACAAGCGTTCAAGGCAGTGGTGTAACTGACCTCGGCTGAAAAACATGAAAGGGAGAACGCTGCACTATGATTGTTGTTTTCTTCTAGGCACAGCGTTTGGAACTTGAAGCTGACGGAGAACAGAAAACGCCAACATCCATCTGGTTGATTTCACGCAGGCATGAGCTGCAGCGTTGTAGGTCCTCAGCGCATCAATTCGATCTCCTGTTGCAGTCTTTGAAGTCTTGGGCTTTCAAATATCAAGGGTGAATGGCATGCATGAAGCACCAGACACTTGCCACGACAATGTCTTGCTCAAGCTTTCAGAACGAGTCACACCACACTCTCAAATCGGCCACGGCGAGCCACCTCCGGTAGGTGCACCCAATCCACTTCAAGGACACAAGGGCCAACAGAAGTGCAAGAAGAACCACATGCAAACGCAACAGGCTGCGTCTGGCTTGGCCGCCTCGAGCCATCCCAAAGCGTTTTCCCAGCGACTTGTGCGGGCATGGGCCCCGACAATGGCATTGAGGCAGCCACCAGAAGGTTGCATTGATCTGAGGTGTGAAAAGCAGGTCAAACGAAGGACGACATGACAACAGTGAAAATTGAAAGGCAGAATTCTGCTGAGACAGGATCTCAAGTGCGGGCATCTGATCAATGCAAACAATTACAATTACAAAGTTCCCACATTGCACTGAGCACAGAAAATTATGGTTAAAGTTCAAGCGGTTGTGTGCGTGTGTGGATCGTCCAATCACATCATTGCAAGCTAAACACAAGGAGACCTGAAAGGTAAATTAAAAATGGGGGCCCGGCCTGTCTTCTGAAAGCTGGAGTAAGGATACAGCCCTCTCCCAGAGTGACACTCGTTCACACGCTCGTGCGCACATTGCAAAGCCTGGAAATCCAAGTGTGAGGGCCATAGGCATGGGATCAAGTGCGCCATTGTCAAAACTCTTTGTGTGTAGATAAGAGTGGATGGCCATCCCTTCCAAACCACTACAGCCAAGTGTTTCGACCAGGGCACATTTAAGAAAAAGAACACGAGCTTTGTATGTGTATGGTTGTGCTTGCCACAAGCCGTTTTACCTCTAGCTGAGCTGCTCAACTCATCGGGATGTACCTGATGCTGCTCCATTGTGGCAAGCAGTTGCAGTGCGGCCACCCAAGCATTCCAGCCTCCAATGATTGTTGGAGCTATGCTTCCGAGAAAGCAACATAGAGATAGAGAGATGCAGAGACAAATACCCTGGCAAAAGAAAGAACAGAACGGAAGCTACTAGTAGCTCCTGGCATTGCTACTAGTAACAAGAAGCTACTAGTAACAAAGGGCATCGCTACTCGTAGCAAGGACGCTATTAGTATGCACTGAATGCGAAAGAACCGAACGATCCTTGAGGGCCGCCACCAGCAGCTTCAACACAAGCGCGCAAAGTGGCGTTGCACAGGGACACATCCACTGTGTCAATAACACCTGCCCAACCACACAGGCAGAAAGGATGTTACCTCCAAAATCCCAAAATGCCTGCATCTGACTCCACTTGCTGAGCTTGTGCCAGGACCTGACACAAATACAATATTACAGCACTTACTGCTCAACCTCTGCATTTGTATCAAACGAAAAATAGAATTGCTTCAAAAAACACAAGCAAAGGATGTGTCGTTACCGGTAACAGTGGATGTGGATGATGATGGTTAGTAAAGGCCGTTCTTTAATGTTCTTTATATAAAAGTTATAAAAGTGATAATTGTTTGCCGACTGTTACAGGTAAGAGGACAAACCCAAGGTATGTGGTTTATATAACGGTAATATTGATAGTGTTGGCTTTGTACGTGCTTCCATTTACTTGTTCAAGTTCCAAGCGATACTCAAAGCCGGTAGCAATGTCCTGGCCTCCACTGCCAAACGCCAAGATGCAGCACGCCCTGTCGCCACTGCTGCCGCGGTAAACGCCACAGCATTCGGCCGACCTTTTCAACACAAACATTAGTTCAGCCTGGCGCCTTGGAAGCTAACTGAGTAACTGAGAGGCGCACTTATCGTGGTAAAGATCTCCTCAAATGACAGTGGAGTGAAGTATGACAGAGCGTCTCTTGAAAAAATGCCTTCAAAAGAATCTTGGTTCCGTCTGGGCGACAATCTGGCAAACGACACTGATTACTGATTAGTGGTTCCGGGATTTGAGCAGTCGTCTTCCCTAGCTTCCATGTGCTTGTAAATCCCGAAATCAAAAACATGAGAAGCCTATTGCACACCCACAATCCGACCACTTGACCAAAGCTATATTAGACACGGAGTGGGGTGTGTCACTGTGTTTCTGTGTGTTTGCTCCAAGCGGCCAGGGCCGTCTGCCAGCGACTGGCTAGAGCACAGGCCCTGACAGCGGCTGCTCGGCCCAGGGAGTCGACGGCGTGGTCTTGAAGCCTCAAGCAAATGCTTGAAGACCAGTGACTCAGGAGCCCCTACTAGCTTCTTGTTCCTAGTACGGCCAGGAGCCCCTAGTAGCGTCCTTGCTCCTAGTAGCGATGCCAGGAGCCCCTAGTAGCGTCCTTGCTCCAGGAATGACTTCTCTAATGCTTTGTTGTAACTGAACTCATGTATTCTTGCAAAGTGTCCTATGGACATGTAAGAGGCTTGTCCTGCTGAGATAGGGAGCGATGACGCCCACGACTCATGGAATATTGAGGGACACCATAGTTCTTTCTAGACTCTGGCAACTCAGAGCTCACAAGCTTCTAGATGCTGATGCCACCCACATCCGTGCTTATCATGCTATCATGTTGTCAGTCAAGCAACAATGCCAAAGCATGGCGCCAGCGTGCAGCACGTGCGCAAGCAGCAAGGGCGACACCAATAGCCCTGGCATCTGGAGCGAAGTGCTTCAACAAGAGCAGCGCAAACTGCCACCTCTCAGGCACTGTCAGGGATGAGAAAGTTGTTTTCTCATCCAAGTTGATTGGTGAGGTGGTTTATTTCCTGTGCGTCCGTTGCTTGCATTGCTTGCTTTGCTGCATCTCTAAGGTCTGCGCTCTGAGGCTTTCTCCTCAAGCAACTTTCAGCTTATATCAGCACTGCGCAAGAACGAGATCCTTTGCCAGTGACAAGTACACGGAGAGTAAGAACTTTAGGTCCCCCGCGCAGGCATTCATAGCAGCTGTGAAATGATGCATGTGTACTGTTGACTTCGTGTCCACCAATTCCTCACAAAGAAACCCATATCAGTGCATATTCCTGCGCTTGTTTCAAACTTGATACACGTTGACTATTGCTTGAAGCTGTACCTAACTCTTGGGTCCCAGCGTGGAGTACATTCAAAGCGGCCCGCCAAAGCTGCCTCTGCCCCAGAGCTTTGAGGCGAGCTGTAGTCTGGCTCATGGGACCAAGACATGCGATTGGTAAGGAGCGAGTGCATCACACTGAAGCTGATTAAAAAGTCTCCGCGCTGCACTTGGGCCAAAGAGAGATTCCAGAGTGAGGGTCTTCAGGAGTGCGGGTGCCAACTTGATCGCACAGGGCAAGAACGTGTCTCTTCCCTGCTGGACCAAACCTTGCTTGTTTCTGCCGTGCTTGGGTTCGAGTGAGGCATCCTAAAACTTTCTGCCTAAAGCAGAGGCACTGAATTGGCTTGAATTCACAGATGCTGTTGGCCTCAGGGACATGTCGGAATAGTTCTAGAATCCAAGTCTTCCGCTTGTCATGAGGACTCTGAGACCAGCACTCAGGGCGCAGCGCCATCTATTTGAACAGGAGGTAACTGCACAAGTTTGCTTGCTCAACTCTCTGCAATCGAAAATGACCCAAATCACAAAGCGAACAAAATCAAGAGGTGCAAAAAGCAATTGGAAAGGAATTGAGGCATAGAACAAAAGAGGGGCGGGTCTGTGTTTAAGGCACGTCTGAGACGGCAAACCTTGAGAGCGGCGCGTCTGCGCTCAGTGTCCTCACCTTGAAGAACTGCAACCAGACGAGGACACTGTGCGCAAAACAGCGACCCGAGTTGCGACAAATCAGGTGCCCCAGCTGCAAATCTCACGCAAATATGTGGCCTTCAAAGCAAAAATTGTGCAGTGAAGGCGGGCAGGTAGGTGTCTGAGTTCAGTGCCCAAGTCTGGAATTCTGTGGCATCATTAAACCTACACGGAAAGACATTATATAATGAACTTTGCAGATTGTTGAGCTTTGCCGTTGCCAGCCTCATCACCAACTCAGGTGCCTCACGGATGGGTTGAATCTACGCCAGAATGTCTTTCGATTTTTTTTTTCCAAAAAGGAATGTTGCATGGCATGGCACGGCATTAAAGCCATTGCTGGATGAAACTCTCTAGCACCTCCCCTCGTCCCGCAACACTGCCAGCAACAATGTGCAAAAGAACAGGCGCAGGCGCAGTTTGAGGTAAATACTCCTTAGATTTGCTGTTTGCTGTAAATACTCCTTAGGCTCTGCCTCTAGAACCTGGAAGCGGCCATCACCGAGAAGCAGGCAAAGCCTCCACTCAAGATGTTCCAAGGGAGGAACACATTTACTCAACGAAGTCTCAAACTTCCTGGCATCCTCTCATGCAACCTATGTGCATGCAGAATGGAGTCACTGCGATCGCATCATGCGTGTCTGGGCCGCAGGCTCCAACCAGTCGTCATCTACCATGGTCTGCAAAGTAATCGAATCCAATAGACCCAAAAGCTGAGATGGTCAACACATGTCATGACTCTGAAGGCCAGAAATAAAGATTCAGCTCAAACGCTTAGTTGCTTAGCTTCTTAGCTTCCAGCTGTGGGCCACTCGCCCTCAACGCGACCTAGTGATCTCATGGAGCGATCCAAGAGGAAGAGGCTAAGATCCGAGACCTTCCTTGAAAAACAAGAAAAAATAACATATTAATATGATACAAATCAGTCTTGTCGTATATAATAAACCCATGTTGCTCCCAAAAATGCTTTCCAAGGTGTTTCCAGCCGGCTGAAAAGAATGCATTCTTGTAAACAAGGGGTAGCAAAGTTGAAAACTACACAGGTCTATGATCGTCTAATTGTCTATGACTCTATGACCCTATAAAAAATAAAATCAATAGTGCAAAATGTGTTCGAAATGTCTAGACTAGACCTGAGACCAAACCAGAAGTCAAAGATTAACGCGTCTTCCAAGTCTTCCATGAGTAATAAAATGCGTGTCCTTTTGACACATCTTTCCGTCTCCACCTGAGGATTCAGCGAGCCAACACAATCTGCAGGACGCGTACATCTGCACGAAGCAATGCTGCTTTCCTTGCCGAGAGGTCGCTGATTGGAAAAATGCAAATTGCAGGTCAGCCCCAGTTGAAAAAACAAATGACAGTCCCGACTCAATGCAAGGAGCACAAAGTTCCGGCTCAAAACGGGACGAGGCCAGGACTTTAGGGACACAAAGGCAAAGGGCGCTGATTCGTCGGTGGGAGCCAGAAATAATAACCTTGCTGATTCGTTGCTTAGGGCACTTGTCACACATTTCATTTCGAAGAAACATTGGAAAACTGACGGCCCCGGCCATTGGTGCAGCCGTAGCCAGGTCATTTCCTCCTCCAAGCGCGACCTTTGAGACCAGGGTGCATAGTGACATCAGGCCTAGACCATGAAGAGACAAAGAAGGTGCCAAAGAAAATCCAAAAGCACAAAAGGAAAAATATATATATATACAAAACATACTTTAGGAAAACACCAGCAGAAAGAGAGTAAGGAAAAAGGTAAAGGATCTCTTTGATACGGCCCCTCTTTTTTGGACCTGTCAGGTAGCATTCTCAGTCAGACCTGCTGTTTCACCAGCATCAAAGGTTCGTGCCCACCGGCATCAAAGGGTTGAGCGAAGGTGGTCAAGGGAGGCCTGTCGTACAACACCACACAGTCACCCTGTGGTCACCTTGAACATGGATTGATCGGGTAAAGAACATGAATGCAGTAAACAACACATGAGCTGCACATGCACCTTTTGTGAGGCCTGTCAGCACCATGGGGCTGTGGAGACATCCTGAATCGAGGTGCAACAAAGCGAGACATCCTGGGGCATTGCCGCAAATATGAATACAATCTGCACGAACCAGCCTTCCAGCTGCAAGCACCCCACCCTCTGCTGCTAGCACATGCGGAGAAGCCTGGATTAAAAAGACTACCTTCAGAAAATGTAAGGGCATGGGCGGCATGGGGTTGAGCCTCAAAGGCCAGCCTGGAAGGCCTTAGCAACCCTTTTGTGTCCCTAGTTATCATCCTATCAACACCGCATAATAGGGTCTTGTGGACACTTTCCACCCTGATTATCTAGCTGCCGATGCTGCCCACGCACGAAGATGTACAAAGCAATAGCATCTTTTGTTCAGGTGTCCGCAAATTTTGCCGCAAATGATGCTCTTCCGAGGAACGAACTACCCGAGCTCCAGCAATATCGCTTCGCTCTGCTTAGTAATCATAAGTGTGTACATACCTAATATACATACATATAACATATACATATTATTATATCGATATACTTTTACAAGAGATCTTCTCTAGCTGACTTTGACCATGCAAAAAAGCAACCCGCGGTGTCTTTTGTTGTTGAGAATCAAGAACACTGCCTGTGGCCAATGAGCCAGATCTCCATCCGTCTGTGGGCGCCCATGAAATCGAACGAAGGCCTCAGAAACATCCGTCGCCGACTCCGCCTTTCCGCGCTGGGACTCTTGAGACTCGAACGGCACTGTGCAGAGTTGGTTCTGATGGCTTGAGTTGGTTCGCTTTGCTCGCAACCTCCAAAGAAAACTTGCCAAACGCTCCCATGCCACAACCACACTAGCCTGGAGGGCCAGCTGGCGGCTGGACACCGCCTTGGGTCTCAGCTAGACACCACCAGCTGTCGCAAAGCATTAAAAGAAGAACTGATCTCAGAGCACGAGGCATTGTAGATCCCCATCTGGACATGTAGGGGGATGTCATTTCCACAGCCCTGGAAAGACGAGAAATACGATGTTCAACTGGTTCTCAGATGTTCTGAGCACAAACCCAAAACACGGCCTCGATGCCCATGTTCAACTGAACCCATTCGTTCAGGGTCATTTCACGATCATTACTCAGCCACCTGGCACAAACAAACAAGCAGCTCTGCTCAAGATTCAGATTCTTCGATGTTCTTCTTGCCTGTGCAGCATCAGGGTGGAAAACATCAGCCTGAAAGGCAAGAATGCACATAAAACAATGTGTTAGACTGTTAGACTGCTGATTTCTTGAACAAAATTCCTCCACCCTCAGCGATGCCTGTGAAGGCCGTCTGTCCCCAGCAGAGCGCGCTGGAGTTCGAGGCCAGTGAGCTCTCCTGGACACGCTTCCCAATCAAGGATTCTGCAGTCAAACGGTTCGGGGCTGAGGTCCCCGTCTGCTTCTTTTGACGATTCTTGCGACATGAGTTCTCATGAGGTCTTCAAAATCTTGCCTTCAGACTCATGGAAGGCACGCTGGTTTCCCTGCAAAGGCGGAAGACCATCAGAAATTATGAGAACTTTTCAGGCGTACCTGGTGAACCAAGCCATCACTGCTTGGCCAACAAGTTTTCCGGCCAATGGTGGCGGCAACATTTTGGAAAAACAAGCGTGTGTGTGTCTACCCCTTGTAGTCACAGGGATTTTTTTTGAATTGCTTTTCTGCCTACTTTTGGAACTAGCTTGAGCAGGGGGCAGAGGCATCTCCAGTTGTGGCCTCTGCCAACGAAGCTCCACACTGGATGATCAGGAAAACGTACCTGCTTGGTGCACCTGGGCGCATTGATTGTAAGCCGCAGCTGGTGGCCATTCTTCTTCCTTTTGTAAAGTGCTAGTGCAGCTGCAGTCATGCACGGCACGTCGTCATCCTGTCGGCTCGTCCTTTAACTAAAGGCGCTCAGGCCCCCTCACCTGGCTTTTCAGGATTTGGTTTCTGAGGCTGGCGTGTGGCACCGCTTTCAGTTCAGTACACCCAATCATAAGTGTGCCTGGCTTCATGCCAGCCCGGGATGAGCCCGCAGAGTGCCTCCCGCGGACCCGTCGAACGGGGGTTTGTCGTCGTCCCTGCGCCCGGGACCAGAGCAGCTCGCAGCGAGCGTAGGTGGCCTAGGCCGAGAGAACTCAGATCTTGTCTTACGTTTTGAATTCCAAGCTGGCTCATGCCTTTACGTGACCGCAGCGGTCAAAGCTGCCAGCCATTTTGGCACGGCGTACGTGGCCGCAGCGGCCGAAGCTTGTTCAAGACCCGTTGGAGTCTGTCGCGACCTTAGCCCCCTTCCTCCTCCCCTCCCCTCCTCTCTCCCTTGTTTGTCATCTTGGCGTGTTCCTGAATGTAATACTCAGGTTCACCCCTCTCTCTCTCACTGGTGTGTCCCTGGACGCTTGTGCGTAGCTGGGAACACCTGTCCTCTTCCTTCTCTGTTCCCTCTCTCTCTTTTCTCTTTCCTTTCCTTTCCCTCCTTCTTGTTTGGGTGTCCCTGGATGCTTTCGTCATAGCTGGGAACCCTTCTCCTCTCTTCTTTTGGTGTGTCCTTGGACGCTTGTGTCGTGGCTGGGAACACCTTCTTCCCCTTTCCTTTTTCTCTTTCTTTTTCTCTTCTCTCCCTACACCTCCCTCCTGTCGGGGCCTTAGAGTGGGATGCTACTAGGTCTGGCCTTACTACTAGGTGCAAGGACGCTACTTTGACGCTACTGGGGGTTCGTGGCCTTGCTACTAGGCGCAAGGGTGCTCTAGGGCAGAGATGCCTCCCCTTGGGGAGGCGTGTGTGTGTGTACCCCTTGTAGTCACAGGGATTATTTTTGAATTGTTCTTCTGCCTACTTTTGGAACTAGCTTGAGCAGGGGGCAGAGGGATCTCCAGTTGTGGCCTCTGCCAACGAAGCTCCACACTGGATGATCAGGAAAACGTACCTGCTTGGTGCACCTGGGCGCATTGTAAGCCGCAGCTGGTGGCCATTCTTTTTCCTTTTAAAGTGTCAATGCAGTCGCGCCATGCACGGCACGTCGTCATCCTGTCGGCTCGTCGCTTCGTGGTTTTGGAACTTTGGCCTTTAACTAAAGGCGCTCAGGCCCCCTCACCTGGTTTTTCAGGATTTGGTTTCTGAGGCTGGCGTGTGGCACCCGCTTTCAGTTCAGTACACCCAGTCATAAGTGTGTGTGTGTGTTCTCGCGCATCAAACATCCATCTTGGTGTCCTACTTGTTACCCCTGGTAATTACAGGAATACCCCTGATACATGGATGTGGAGCAGCCTCTTCCCGATGGTCGTTCAGCTCTTCCTGGCATCGAAAACACAAGGAGATTGAGAGATCACACAGGCACGGTCACAAAGGTGGCAAACACCGGTCCTCGTGTTGCTTCCACCAGAAATGCGCGATGCCGCGCAGCAGGCGATCCACCTGCAGAGCGGCTCTTGAGCTGTGAGTCTTGGCTTTCGGGACAAAGAGCGCCTTGAGCCAGTCAGTTGGCAGCCGTATGTCATGGGAGATAGCCTCCAATGCAGTGGTGACCTCAGAAACAAACATGTTCCTGTGTCGCCTTTGTCGCTGTTTTATTCACAAAGAGTAACACAAACGTAAAGTCTTTGATCGGTTGGCGCACGCAGCTACTCATATCTTTGTGCGCTGTTGGCAAGTGTCGATTCTGACCGTCGCCGTCGAGAACTGTCTTAGCAAGCCAACGCAGCAGCAGTTGGAATTGCGCCGCGGGCAGAAAGGGGCACGGTTTACTTACATCGTAGAATCATAGGTCAGATCCTGGATCATCCCCACGGCAGCCTGATTTCACTATATGAAGTATTGCTGACGCCGCCAAAATGTCTGAGCTTCCCATCTTCTGGGCTGTTTGTTTCCTAATGCTTGTGTGACTAATAGGGACACACATCCCCATAAGCGCACCAGCAAATGCGACAGCATCAGCGACACATATCCTGTACTGTGCAATGAGAATGAGATGACACAAAGCCGGACGACATGCCGAGATGAGGCAAATAGGCTGGTCTCAGGCAGCGTGGGCTCCAAAGCTTTCAAAACAACTCAGCAAGCCACAGCCATATCAATGGTTGTTCTGTGTTGTTCTACATGGTTGGTTTGGTGAACACGAAGGAAGAAGGACACTAGGACCGTCCCACACCAACCACCCTTTCCTCAGGTCCTCCGGCCAGGTCGGTTGGAAGATTGGTCTAACTGACTTAGTGACTAAAGGCGCTTCACAGAATCAACCTCCAACACTTCCCATTAGCGGTGGGCTTGAAAGCTTATCTTGCACACTGACTTAGCATGCGAGACTCAGAAGTTAGAGAGCTGACGCATCATCGCCAGTTGGTCACGCAGTTCCGGTTTGTTTTTCACAATCAAAAAGGATGTTTGATCGACACATCTAGTTTGCAGCGTCTGGGAGGTCTTTCACCCAAAACTGCAACATTCTTTGTACACACAGGCTGACAATCATGTGATTTAAATTAACCTCCAGCTTCCAACGGCTGTAACAACAGACTTGCACAGCTAAAACAAACAAAACACACAGGAACCGGGAAGTCTCATCTAAGCGCTGTACTCCGGTGCCAAGTAATGGCAAGGAGTTCAGAAACCTGGCATAGCCAAGTTTCCAGGTCGAGCTTTGTATTTCTGCAACATGGACGAACATGGATAACACTTGCTCACGCTTAGGCCCTTTCGGCAGTAGGTGGATCCAAGGTTGGTTCATCTACAGGTCTTTCAGGTTGGAAGTATCGCAAGACTTGTTGCAAACAGCCGCCAGCCCCACTCCAAGCGCAGGGTTTGTGCCTTGCGACTGGAGCAACATGCTTTGGCTTGATCATGTGATTGAGACAGTGATTAGTTGTGTAGTGGGTCAACAAGCCCAAGAAAAATCCCCAACAGCTGGGCATCAAAATCAGCCTAGTAGCAGTAGGCATGGCACCAAGTGTCATGTCTTTGCCGGACAACGCTGTCTTCAGAAGTGTGAGCCGCTTCAATGCGCCATACCAATAACACAGCAATACATCGGCACAGCACACAATATGCGCCCACACATATGTGCAAACTCGACAACGCCGCCACCAGCAAGAACCAGCAAACCTGCTACGGAACCCGCCCTGGAGGCTGCCAGCATGTCCGCGCAACAGCATGACCGACGGCAGCATCTCAGCATGACAACATGTCAGCATGTTAGTGCGACTCATGACAGCACGCCAGTATGACCACACAAGCATATCAGCATGACAACGCAAGTCACGTCAGCACATCGGCCTGGCAGCACCTCAGCCCATCAGAGAGACACAGCATATCTGGGTGGTTCCAGCATCAGGGCGCGCTGCGGAACCGCAAGTGCAAAGTGCTCCGGCAATTGCACCAGAACCTGCTCCGGAAGCTCCGCAATGTCCTCTGCAACCTGCTCCGGAACCTGATCCCCAACTTGCTCCAGAGCTTGCTCTGAACTTGCTCCGAACTTCCTCCACAAACATGCTCGGAACTTCCTCCGGGTACCTGCTCTGATCTGCTCCGAAGTCTTTACTATACTATGGCTTGTTGTTGTGGTTCCTAAAAGTGCTGTTGTGGGTATAACACACCCTCATGGCTGAAGACCCGAAGCTCTGCTGTTGGGGGAAAAGTCATCAAACATAGTGACCGAAACAAAAGGAACAAATTAACAAACAAAGACTCATACATACTCCCGGAATACTCCCAACTCTTTCTTAGGTTCTGGAGACTGTCTGATTGTCCCTTCTCATTGTGTGGCACTGAACACCCGGCGGTTGGATACTCCTCGCTGAGGTAATCGCCTGTCACGTGGGTCTTGCAAATGACCATGACACAAAGCTGAAGAAAGCTGAGTCTAAGCCGCACGCCCAGCTTCTGGGGATCTGCGTTGAGCCTATGGCTGTGCCAAACGCTGAAACGAGAGCCGCAAGGAAGAATGACAATTCAATATGGCACACGTGCAAAGGCCAATCGTGGTCTACTCGCCTCACCAGGAAATTGTTGATCTCAACGGGAAAGTCCCGGACGATGCTCAGCGCCACGAGAAAGGCGACACCGTGGCCAGGGCTCCTGGCTCTGGAAATTGAAATAGGTCATGCACCAATGCACCCTATCATATACGTACGGCAAAAATAGTCTAAGGTGAGCTAATGTGAGCTTGCCCCTCATCTAAGCTTCAACGTTCTCTAAGTCTTGAAGCAAGATTCCATTGAATCGCAGCAACCCAATTTCCACCAAAGTGCTCCTGTTGAAAATGGAGACGCCAAGCTGCTGTAGTTCCTCCAAAACTGTGTGATGGCTTGCTTGCAATCCCTCCGTCTGGTCCCCACTGCCAAAAAGAAAAGTAGTGGGATTCTTAGCTGCCTTTTTCTGGCTTGGTCGAGGTCATTTGCTGACATGTGACAGTCTTCGAGCCAGATCGTATAATACAAACCTCACACTGGCTCTCATCAGTCACTGTCTGATTCCTAGGTTCCTCTTGTCGGACACTTTGGTTCCTAGGTTCCTCTTGAAGGCGAACTACACAGCGCATGGGGCACTCAAACGACCTCACACGGGGGCTCGGTGCTGGAGACTAAAAAAGGTGTCTGGTATTCTGTTGTTAAGTCCAAGACCCTGGTGTCGAGCACTCAAACGATGGACTTCAGCTCTGCAGTGCCTCCCACAAGTTCGAGAATAGCCAAGCAGGCCAGTGGAGTCGAAAAAAGAAAGCGCCAGGCGTGGTTTTGTGGCGGCTTTGCCTTTGTCCAATCGAAATCCTTGGAGAATCTGTCCTTCAAATCCTTGCAAGCATCCCTGTACCTCGCGTCTGCGGAAAAGTCTCTGCTCTTGATGCACATGAATTCAAAATGTGGGGATGTGAGGGGGTGGCCAACCTCCTTAAGGACCGGAGGGTTTCATCACTTTGTGATGTGTGAAACTGAGGGCACCAAAGTTGTACGTCCGCTTACCAAAAAGAACGCAACATGAATGCAAAGGAATATACAACTAACTTTTGAATGGGATCTGCTTCAAAAAGCAAGGCATCAACGTTGTACAAGGCCATGTGGAAATCTACCCGTCGAGACAACACAGCATAGGGCACTCTTCTTTGCAAGTGTAAGCTCTGTCCAGAATTGTCAACTCACACCTTAGGAATCATAGCATCTCTTCACTTCTGCACTCAGCACATATGAGAGCTTGATAGAGCTTGTGTAAACGTGGAGACTCAAACAGCCTGAGAATGTCTTTCAAACAAGTGACATTCCTGCCATGACGTGCTGGACAAATTCCCGCGGGAAATCCACCACATTGTCAACGACGTGGACAAAACCACCACCAAGGCTAAAATCGACATGAACGTACCTGCATCGTGCAAAGGCATTGCAAGGGATTTGCAAAACCGTATATATATATATATATTTTTTATATCAGAATGCAAATGTGTTTTCCAAGCAAAACACACACCCTGAAACAAACCGTGTCGTGGTGTCGTGCGCACGGAAAGCCCTTTGGCACTGCCGTGCGCGCTCCACCCTTGGAGTCCGTCTCGATGACCTGCAAGAACTTGGGGCGAATGCTTCAGCTGGGTCCATAGCCCACAGGAGCATGTTGTCCAAAACTTTCCACAAACCGCTGATTGCTGATGCAATGGAATGTCAAGATACTGCTAAGTGTAAACAGCAAAAGTGGCCTTTTTGTGCGAGGTCTCAAACTCATTCTCAGCTTCATCGAATGCCTAGATACAGTGATGTCTGTCGCTATACTACGTTGGATGTCCGGTTTCTTCTGGCCTTCTTCCAGTATGTCTTTGCTTGTACCAGCAAGTCCATCCTGTGGGCATTCAGCCAAGAAAATGGGCTGATTGGCTTCTCCAGCTCCAGCTGTCAAACAAACAAAAGCTGTCCATCTTCACAAAATAGCATCTGAGAGTCTGACTCGATAGGATAAGCCACAATCGAGCAATGAGGACCAGCCCCGAGCAGTGCCTGAAGCGACAAACCTGATACCTTGATACCTTTCTTTGAGCAACTATTTAGGACCTTCAAAGCACCAAAATTAAGCAGAACATATACATAAAATCAACAAAGGAAAAGGAAAGTAAGGCTACCTGTTCTTCTCTTTTGATTCTTTTGATTCTCCTATTCCGATGTTGACTAAATCCTTTGTGGCTTGACAATCCCGCCTTGTCTCGTGAGACACGATGTATTGATGATTCCACAAAAAGAACTGCTCGTGGTGGTTGCTGCGAGCAAGGCAGTCACGAGGCGACTCGTTATAAACTCTGTGAGATTGTACCAGCATGATGAACCCTCCTCAAAATATAAAGAACTTGGAATCAGCCGAATCGAACTCATCCAATTACAGTCTCTGCATTCGAAGTCCAGAATATGAGGCCTAGGTGGCCTAAGTGTATCCTTCAAAATCCTCCACTCACGGTGCAGTCTGCATCAATCTCCAAGAAAATTGGTCTCTAATTTTGACTCACGTGCTCGTCCCATGACTTGCTTGCATCACTTTCTTTGGAGCGGTCTCAGCTGGTCACCTCCGACTCGTAGAATGAAACGAGGCACTTCTGGTAGTTGCGGACATCTGCCTTGGATCCCCATCATTTTGTTGTGTGGCTTCGTGTCCATTATGCACAAACTTACAGCTCTCAAGCTGAGATCCATGCCCAAGCTGCCTGCAATCAGCAAGAATCTTGCAAAGCAACCCACCCATCGGTGGAGTCAAACAGTGCGTGCACCATGGCCTGGCCTCATCCACGTCAGTCATGGCCATCGCATGGTCCTGTGGAACAATGATCACCTGCCACATAGCATTTTTCAGAAAGTTGCCGGTTTCATGAACACCTTGGTATTAGCTTGCCTGGCCAGGTACGATACAGCGGTTTTGGGCCTCAACACAAAGGTACCTGCCACTTCTCCATTGCCATGTCAGTACAACTTCAAATTATGTATATAGTGTATCATATATGTCTGTTGCGCGCACGCATGTGGAGACACTGACATGATCGCATCCTTGCGGAAGAACTTCTTGCCTGAACGATGTCTTGCCCGGATAGGCTCGGAGATTCCTTTTCCGGTCAGGAGGCTAAAAGTGTTTGGCACATTGCTTGTCGTCTCTCATAATCCCGAGCATATTCTTGGGAAAAGGCTTTGCAGCACATAGTGTTTATGATTGGCACAGAAACCACAATCTGTTTAGTCCAAGATAGTCCAAGTGGCTTTCCATGCACAATGTGCATCGCTCAAGGTTCACCTGGCCCGAAGTAAGCTATCAACGACATGAATGGATCACAAAGCCCCGAACAAACTAAAAGGTAAAAATAACGCCACCAAACATGACAGTCAACAAACATACAAACTCTATACATACTAACGGACACAAATGTACGAACAGCATCTGTTGATTGGAATATTTGCCTTTCACTTGGCAGAGAGGGAAATATGAAGGTGAGGGCCCCTTCAACAAGTTCCTTTTAAGCAAAGAAAAAACATGGGTAAGGCCCTTACCTCCTTTTTTCCTGTCTCTTCCTATTATGTGTCTTTTTCTCGTCTCTTCGCTTCTCGCTTCTCGCTTCTTCTTCTCGCTTCTCGCTTCCTTCTCTCCCTATCTCTCTATCTCCCTCTCTCTCTCTCTCTTTCTCTCTCTCTCTCTCTCACTCTCCCTCTCTCTCTCTCACTCCTTCTCTCGGTGTACTGCCTGGATTCGATTCTTGTCATTCTTCTCCTGTCGTAAGCGCCTTTCTTCCCCTTTCCTCGCAACGATATACTGAGAATGTGGATTTTCAGAGAAGCTCGGAGGAGCACCTTGCATCCATCTTTTTGTCCATGTTTTCGTACCACCCAAGTGCGTAAGCCTTTCAGGCGAGACAATCGACAGCAAAACCGACAGAAATTGAGCATGTCGAATGCCCAGCAACTAACCATGTGTTTTTGTTTTGATTGACCATTCATCCCAAAGCCGTATGCGAAGCCTCATCTTCGTCTTCCTCCAGCATCTTGAATTTGCCACCTTTCTTAAGAATGTGCTTCTCAAAGTTGGCATCGTAGTCCTGGTGGACTTGGACAGTGTAATGGTTTCTAGCTTTGCACATCTCCATCAATGTAAAGATTCATTCACATCTTGACAAGAGTGACCCACCCTTCCTGCACCCCTTCAATTCTTTCTCGACGAATGAGCTCGCCGAGAGATACTTCGTCATCCTCGTAGTAGCCTTGCAAACAAACATGCGTTTCCTCTTGCGAGTAGCAATTCCTAGCCAAAAAAATGTCCTTATCCTGGCCCAGCCGTGGCCTTGGGAGCCTTTCTTGTCTTTACCTCCAGGAACAGCATTGGCGTTGCCTTACCAGCACTTGCGTGGTTTCGAAGGTCACCGGACAATAACCGTGGTAGTCATGTGATCACACAGGTCATCCGCCTCGCTTGTTGCGGCCTTTGGTATGGACAGAAGTGGATTGGACCTGGAGTCTCGGTCCGTTTGGCAAGCGTCGCACAAAACAAGAACATAGTGTGAAATGTCAGTCTGAGTCTGTCGCAGTCTCGAGCAATTTTTTGCTCCGTCCGGCTGCATCTACTTGCTCAAGAACCTGCTCACTGCACATCACAGAAAAGCTGTTCCAGATTCAAGGTTCAAGAAACAGCAGGAAACTGAACTAAGGTCAGCGCCTTAACATTGTCTGCCTTCTCCTCTGGAAGAGGCAGTTTAAACGTGTTGCCCTCATCACCTAAAGCAAGTGGCTCAGAAATGGCTCCCTTTAATGGAAGAATGGCCACATAGAACCTAGCGGACGTAGCTAGGTCGTTCATGTTGACCTCTATCCAGACTCAACATCGCCACCTTCGAGCAGAAGCAAACTTCACTAGAAAGCACCAAGGCTGCGACTGCCAGCTGACAAACTGGCCTACAAGGCATGGAGTCCTCTTTTGAAATTTGAAAACAAGCGGAGCATCAATAAGAAATCCCATCTGCAAACATGTTTACATCAGAATCGCAAGGAAGGCTCGTGTGGGAAACATCTACAAACATTCCGCAACAGTGCCGTTTCCAGACTGACCAAGCGCCTGGCCTGATGTTTTTCAAGGCGCCGGTTCAGCTCCTCATACCGAGTCATATCACCACCTCAGTCTGGATGAACTTGGATACTGACGAACCGCGAAGCAGCGCAGCAAATGGCTTTCACGCGAACGAAGTGGCTCAAGGGCCCTGCGATTGCAGGAAGTAAGAAACGGCCGCGGAGTGAAGCAAGATCAGGGTTCAAGCGTGTCATGATGGTTTCTCATCCTTCGGGGGGTCATTCATGGTCTTGCTTCACAAGTGCATACTTAGCACTGGCCATCGTGCGTCGCAAAAGCACGGAGTTGCCCAGGCGCTTAGTCAAAGCATCGGCGACCATCACCGATCCCGGGACCCAGTAGGTCTTCACATTCATGGCCTTGGCCGAAACACAAATGACGGCCACGTCAATCTGGGCCCGTCGATCCTGGCCTGCGTTTCCAGACCTCCTATTCAGCAGGTCAAACAGCGCTTTAGCATCAGTGACATGGATGCCGAACTCCTTGTCCTGGATGTGGATGCTTTTTGCCTTCTCTTCATCTTCAGGCATCCTCATCACCAGCAGAGATTGCTCATCTCCAAGTCGGGTTCCATCAAGAACGCTGGAGCTGGGATCCAAAGCTTCGTGCCACATTGCTCTCACCCATTCGACTTCAGCAAGAGCATCATCCATAGCAAGAGCTTCGGAACCCAATGTTGCTTTCACAACTCGCTTCAAGCGATGGCTTCTCCAGCTATTGACGCTAAAGTCAGCCAGCTTGCCATCGGTGATGTCCTGGTCCACATATGCAATGAGGAAGCCGCCCTGGGACTTATTCTCAACGTTGGCCATTGACGCATCTGCTATGGTCATCCAAAGACCGCGCTCAGGGCTGATTGGAAGCACCCTGATGACAGCCTCTGGAGTCATCTTCAACTCTGCCACTGTCTTGTTGGCCATGGTGATATGCTCCACCGTAGGGCCTCCACTGCTCCATGACATAGCCATTGCACAGGCTGCGCCAACATCTGGTCTGCCTTCCTTGCCCACCCACAACAAAGAGCCGCCTACTCCGCGCAACCACGAAGTCTCCTGCTCGTTGAGCAATGATTCTTTCTGCTTGAGACGGTCCTTCGGCAAGGTCACAGGCTTGAGCTTGTTCTCGATGTAGCGCTTCATGGAGACCTGCACTTCATAGGACTCTTTCTGGGTCAAAGTCCTGCCAATGTAGTCGGCGCTCTCGCCATAGACATTCCGCCACTTCCCAAACTTCAGTTTGGTTCTCAACTGAGACATCAGTTCCTGGTGTCGTGCTCCACCACCTTGACAGAAATCATCAACATCAAGGAGCACAACTCCAGCCACACCAAATTTGCTGCCATCTTGGATCTCGCTCTTGAGGGCCTTCAGGAAGTAGAAGCACGGGTCAAAAACACTCTCGGTGTAGCCCAGGTCCAAGAGCAAACGGCGGACGGTCTTCCGCCAGACAGCAGGAGCGTTGACAAGTCCGTACACCGCCGTCAACACTTTGATGATGGCTGTTTGTGGATATCCAGGAATTCCAGTCGGTGGCATCGTGGTGAAGAGCGGACCCTGGCTTCTCTCATGAGGGTCAGACTGACCAAAAGCACTGCTCACGTCCATGATGCGCAGTTGGAACCTCATTGAAGCAATGATTTGCAGGCAAACCATGACAGTGGTTGAGGAAGGTGTAGGTGCATATCGTTCAAGCTCCAAGGCATCAGGGTCTTTGTGACCAAGGAGGATCCATCTGGCCTTCGCCTTCCAGGTCTCCGCAACATCGCCCGTCTTCTTTGCGACCAAATATCTGGATGGCATGATGCGACCAGGAAATTGGTCTCGGATCTTGGCGCACTCATCGGGGTCGGTCACAATCTCGATGGCATTGGAGTTGACCAAATTCTGAATTTCAAGCAGCTTGGCCTCATTGAACATCTTTTTCTCATGCTCTGGAATCTTCTTCTCATCGAGCTCTTTGCCGCTTTGCTTAGTCAAGTAAGTGATCGGCTTGGAGAGCTCCTGAAGCCCATAGAAGCAGTCATTCGTTGTCAACTTGTAAAAGAGGTCCAAGTCGCGGATGTTTGCAACGATCGGGTAGTTGGTCTTGTTGCCCCACTCGGTGTTGTCATCGGCATGCCACACCGGAAAGAGCTTACTTTTTGTTGTAGCCCTTGGATTGCTCGTTGGACTCTCAAGTCCTCTTTTCATGCCTTCGTCGATGAGGCGTGCATCTTCAGCAGGAGGAAGCGGAAGTTCTGGCTTCTTCGAAGGTGCAGCCACTGACTCAGGTGGTGGCCATGGCTGTCCAGGGTCAGGATGACCTTCACGCTTCCGGTAGACCAAAGTGGTCTCAATGCTGCGGACACCTGTCGGCAACTTTCGGTGGATCTTGTGGACGGTCATCTCAGGTGTGATCTCCTCATCAGCCACGATCTTGTTGTCGTCAATGTTCAGGGTGATCCTTCTGATGACATCACCCCATAGAGGTCCATGACTGTTGCTGCCACGGAATCTTCTGGCCTCAACATCATAGCGAACCCAATGTCGGAGTTCATCTTGGTCAGAAGTCGTGGATGGTCCAGCATCACGGGAACGTTGGCTTTCTACAGTGGCTTTCCACAGCTCATCAGCATCTTTCATCGGCTGTGTAGGCGCTGAAGAACTCTGTGAAGACACCTCCGGAGATGGTCTCGAAGGTGCGGATGGCATAGGCATAGCCTTTGGAGTCATAGGCTGAGATGGAGTCGCAGTTTCCGGTCTTGGAGTCGACGGCCTCTGGCTCTGAGTGGATGTAGTTCCAGGTTGATCGTCTTTCTCCAGGTCACCCGGTCGGTCATCATCGTCGTTGACATGGATCACAGGTTGTCGGATTGGCGATCTTGATCTCATTTCTCGCATGGCCACAGGCCTTGGTGTCAATGGAGCTGCAGGAAGTGGAGTCTGTGGTGCACCCGAATGGACTGGTGTTCTCAGTCCTTCGGGGGGTCCTCGAGGCGTTGGAGGAATCCTTCGATGAATGTCAAGATCTCCTTGAGCAGGTTGGCCATCAGCATCAAGTCGTGGGTCTCCTTCCTTGGTGACATCGATGTGGCCCAACTTTTCGCTGTCATAGCGCAACCTTTCCTTGACTTTCAAGAGATCTCGGGGAATGCTCTCGAGTCCTTGTTTTTCCATATTGCCCATCTTGAAGATCTGACTTTTGTTGCACTTCCACAGCTCGCTTCTCCTTGTGATCCAAACAGTGTCACCCTTTTGCAGGACCACAAAGCAAGGTCCAACCTTGGCCTGATAGCCTCGTTTGCCCTGCCGCCAAACGTAGACAGGTTCTCCCTCCTCGAAGGTGTGATCTTCTCGAGCGCGACGAGGTCGGGAACGGAGGGCACGATCAAGGCGTTCTTTGCCGTCAATCTCAACCAAAGCCTTTCGAGCAGCTTGTCGGATTGCCTCTGATCGCTTCCAAGCTTCATCTCCTGTCTGCGACAGTTCAAACTGTCCACCATCGCCAAGAAGGTCCAGCGCTAGACTGGGCTGCCGGCCAAATACTCGTTGCGCAGGTGAATAGCCGGAACGGTTGGTCAGAGTTTGAAGTGCCCAGCTGACCTCATGGATCATGTCCTTGACCTCTTGGAGATTGGAAGGTTGGTGGAGTTCTCGGGTCTTGTAGTAGAGCTCTTTGAACAAGCCTCCTCTTCTCTCTGTGACACCGTTTTGATACGGTGCATTGCGATCAATCAGCATCGGCTGGATGCCCAGGTTCTCGAGGCCTTCGACAAAATGTCCGGCAAATTCCAATCCCTGATCCAGGATCAGGAAAGAAGGTGAACCAAACACCCGGAGCCATGCCTGTAGGAAAGTGGCCCGCACCAGTGCAGATGATCTGCGATGTGCATCGACCATGGTGAATGTGGAATACAAAGTTCCGATGCGTGTGACGTTCAGCACTGGGTGTTCTTCTAATGGTGAGGCTCCGTGGACAAACAGCAAATCGATGCCAACCACAATGTTGAAGTCATAGGTTCTTGGTGTTGCGGATGGCAATCTTGTAGGCATCCTCTGTTCTTTTGCACAGCCAGCACATGTGAACTCCTTGAGCACATAGTCCACGATGTCATTTCGAGTGCCAGCGGCTTTCAGCAATCTCACAAATTCCCGGACTCGAGGATGTCCAAGATTCACATGAGCTCGCAACACCATCATCTTCTCATTGGCACTGATTGAACGTTTAGGCGCATCTTCAGCTGCGAAGGTCTGCTGAACCATGGCCTGGTGCTGGTAGAGAATTACCACATAGGGAAAGGTCACCTCGAAGGGCTTGGCTTTTCCACTCTTGGCTCGTTCAAACTGAAGCCACTTACCATCATAGGGATTCTTGCACCAAGTCCATCGAAGATGTCGGTGACCAGGGCAATTTCTTTTGATCCAGCTCATCGCACCATTGCTCAAGGTCACCACGATCAGGAAGGTGTCGTGGTTGTCCAGTCTGTTGGTCTCGCCACTCCTGAATCAAGCCATCAATGATCGCCTTGACAAGTTCAGGAGGATATTCTTGAGCACGTGCTGGTAGACCGCCAATCAATGGTTCATGAGGATGGTCACCTGTGCGCAGCCGCTGGAGCTCCACTGCAATCTGATCGCATGTGGTCGCGAACAGTGTCGACTTGCGGTTCAACCCTTCTCTCACGCGTAGGCCAAAGCGGCACTGATCTGACTTGATAAGCAAAACCTCATCTTTTGCCAGAAACTGTCGAACCTTCGGGAGCGTCCAGGATGTCGCTGTGTCTGGGTGCTCATGCAATGAATGACCTCCTCGTGATACTTGATCTTGTTGAAGATCCATCGAGTAGTTCACATGCTCAATGGCAGCAGGCAGTTCATCTTCCAGTCGTTCTGGATGTGGCCGCAAGTTTTGCATTGGAGAGAACTTTGTGCACGGTGGTGAAGTAATCAAAAGCCGAGGTCTCCGGCGTTGTAGTAGTGCACGGACGGTGATCTTCTCCTTGTTGAAGCTGAGGTCATAGCCAGTCTGAAGGTCAATCGATATCTCAGCTTTCAGGCCACGTGCCGCTGCTGCTTGAACTACTCGTGGAGGGCTGTAGACTTCGATCACATCATCGGGCGTCATAGAGCCAAACACTTCTGCAATATCGTCTGGCTCATGGTTGTCCTCCCATAGGTTCCAATACACAGTGAGGTCACCGAGCAGATTGTCCAGGCAGGTCGACAGCTCTTTCTTCATTGACCTGGACAAAGTGATCTCACTTTCGAATTCTGTGTCCTTCATGTACTCGAGAAAGTCCCGGTCGAACTCATAGAGGATGAGGTAGTCCACACTGCTGCCCAGAGAATAACCATCCCCTGGGGTGTAGGTGACGTGCACAGCGCTCCAAGGCTCATCTTCGCTCTGGATCATGATGATCCGTCTGCTAATAGTCGGCTTTGAAGACACCGGCACAACACCAAACACAGCATCACCGCATCCGGCGGTTACATAGGTGCAGTTGTAGTCTACCTCCAAGGCGTCCAGGACCTCGAAGAAGGACTGGTCATAGTCGTGGATGTCCACCATGGTGCTCAACCAGCCTTGTCTCACATGGGCTGAAGTCGTCGAAGATCGAAGGCACCCATCTTCTGCATCACCAGTGGCAACTCGAACATGTACATTGCGAGGTTGCATTCCGTGTTGGTGCACTGGATCTCCGTCTCGTCCTCCGGACTGTTGGAAGGCACGTCCAGGTGAAGCATCTGGTGCGTCTGACAATGGGGACATAGAAGAACTCCCACTGCCATCTCGGAGGTCGCATCCAGATTTGCCCATCGAATCGAGCAGTTGTCCCGATCGCACTTCCAGTAGAGACGTTGAGTCGGAGTGTGGATGTACAGGATGGCCATGCCCAGGCGACACAGGCTGCAATGCTGAGTATGTGTCTGAACCAGAGGGTCCAGGGGTCCAGTCTCCATCTCCGTGTCGCCAATGAATGCCTCGAAGGCTGCCATCTCCTGTTCCTCCTCCTTGCACACCAGCCACTCGTCTGGCGTCTCCTCTTTGACCAACGGGCGTGACCGAGACTTGGTCGCTGTGGTCTTGCTGGTTCCCGTCATCGATGAGGTCCCGACCGCTCGAGCTGACGTCTTCTTTGCGGTCGGTTGCAATGTCGATGAACTTTTGGCTGAAGTTCCCCGTGCCTTCTCCTTTGCTGCAACTTTCGCTTCCAACCTCTCGGTGGCTTTCTCGAAGAAGGCGCACTTCACATAGACCAGCGTGTCGTTCCAATGCTGTAGATCTTGGAGAGGTGTCAGCGGCATCTGTTGCTCCTGTCCGCATTGTTCGCAGCGCTGGTAGGAGAGAATCCGATTTGCACCGTGTGTGGTTTTCAGATGAGCACAATGGGTGGACTTCTCCAACTCCGGAACCAGGTAGCGACCGCGTCCTCGAATGCATGCCATAGGTCGTACTCGATCTTCGGGACGGGACACGTTCAAGTAGCCCTGTGCTGGCATTGTACTGCCAGATGAAGCCTCGGCCATCTTCTGCTCCTGCTGCGCCAAGGAAAGCGCTTGCTGCTCCAAGTGCTCGCGCCTCTTCTGGAGTTGTCGAACTTGTCGTAGTTGAGGCTGCCGAGTCAGCTGCATGAAAAGCTGCTTGGCCTGCAAGCAAATGGAGACAAGTAGCCGCAAGAGCAAACGTCGCCAGCGGACCCATGGCCTTGAGCTGGAGGGCATCTGCGGGAGCGTGAGATGACCAGTGGGCTTCGTCAATCTTCCACGCTTGACTTTTGAAGCAGCGGAAAGTCGCTGGAACAGTGAACCCAGGACCGAACTCCACGATCGAAACGGCAACGTGTCCAGTGGGGAGTCTGGTCATCTTTTGGGTCACACCGAGGGCCATGTACATAATCGTGGCATGCTTCATGTCAATCACCGCTTCAAGGTCAGCGAGGAAGTAAGCTGGAATGAGGAACGGAATTTCTCCAGGGACAATCTGAACCTTGAGTTCCACTTAAACCAATGGGGACATAGGCCAATGAAGTGTTTTCCTCAGTTCCGCAAACTCCTCGAACCATGCCCCCTGACTCCGTGGTCCATTGAACTTGTAGTCCAAAACGTTGTTTCAACAACTCATCATGATGTTTCAAAGTTTCCATGCCAACCAATCCATGTTGCGCTGCAGTGTCAACTAGCGCTGTTCCTGAAGGCTTGGGTGTGTACTGTGCAAAACAAAAGCTCAAGAAGGACTGCGCAAGATATTCCTCCACGATTGTGTCTGGCTGGTCGTGGGTGAAAAACTGGTGGCCAAAACCGGCAACCTTCCTGGGTGGTTCCAGGAAGAAACCTGTGCTAGAGGTCGTACTTGATGAAGTCGGGCTTGATCGCCGCTGTGGGCACTCCCGACTCCAGTGACCCACTTGTTTGCACTGGTGACACCTTGTTTTTGCTTTGAGCTCTGTCAAAGACAATCGGCTGCCTGCTCTCGACATCCAAGGCTTGTCGTATCCTCTGCTCATCCGAGTCTGTTGTAGAGCTCGGCGATGATCCAAGTAGTTTCCACGACCACTGCCAAAGCCTTGATATGTCTTGGAGAAATTCTTGCTTTTGCCTTTGCCCTTCTTGCCTTTGCCTTTTCCTTTGAACATTCGGTCACGGGTCTCCAGGAAGATCTCCTCGATGTTGCCGCTGATGTGTTCCATAGCTTCGGCTTCATCCATCACGATGGGAAGCTCCTGGTGAAAGATCATCTGTGTCTCCCAGGAGTCGTTAAGGCACACCAGATCAGCAAACAAATCATCATCTTCCGTAGGAGCATCTGAAGTTGGCGAATAGCCATCAAACTCATCACCATTATCCCAAGACTCTTCATAGTCCTCAATGCCATCGGCATCCCAAAACGTTGCACTGCGCCAGCGTCGAGGGGTATGAGGATGATCACCATGTTGATCGTCCAACTTGTCACCGAAGACCTTTTGAATGGCCTTCTCAATTTCCACATAGTCGATTGAACCATTCGTCACCACTTTAAGCCTCTGGCGCTGATCCTGAGTGAATGACCCTTGCCTCAGGATCAAGTGGCCTAAAAGATGTCGCCCAGCTGCTGAGGCTAGCAGGTCCAATCCTTGCTTCTTCAATTCATTGAATGCAGCTTTCTTGCCGGTCAGGAAGGCCGTGAGTGAAGTTCCACGATCTCGTCGGCCTTTGAATATTGCATCATCGAAACTTGTTCCAAGCTCTGATCTCTCAAGTACTCATGCGCCTCCTCGATGATCTTCAAAATGACCCTATGGCCATCATCTGAACAAATTTCATCAACGGTCAAGGAACCAAGGAGGGCGCTCAATTTGGAGCCAAGCGGGATGGAGTCGATGATGCGCTTGCCTATCAAGTTGCTCGGGATGCGGGCTTCAGCTTCAACCATCCATAGTCGTAGCTTCTTGTGGTAGTCTTTGTAGTTCTTCTCCGGCATGTCACCACCCCATGTCGGGGCAGGATCCATTCTGTAGTCAACATGTCGTCGACCTTCAGCGGGCTGACCAGCTTTGGGCGTGCTTCGACGTGAAGCAGCACCTCGAGTCCAAGGATCCTGCTCTTGGAGAGGATCATCTAAAGCCTGAACAGGTAGTTCACGATGAACAGGTCCGGGTACCTCAGGTAGCACAGGAAGCTGTTCATGTTCAGGAAATAGTCCAGGGCCATCTTCTGGCATCTCTGGAGTAGGTGCTGCAGCCGCCGCCGCACTTGTAGCTGAGGGACTCGCCGATGAAGTCCGGCCAGTCCACGTTCGTTGAGGCCGTTGCATGATAGGTCAAGCAATGAAGTCCAGTCAAACTGGTAGGCAAAGAAGAAGTCAACGCGGAAGGTGTACACGCGTAGACCTGATGAAGTGGCCAAAGCCAAAGAAGTGGCGGAAGCTCAGGTTTCGCCGCCAAGAAGAAAAGGTGGTCGTAGACCAAAACAAGCAAGTAGTGACGTCACTGCCCCAAGGCTCTAAGACGCACAAAGTCAAACTGGTAGGCGAAGTTGAAGACAACCTTCAAGAAGAAGTCGTGAAGTCCTATTGCCGGGGCGTCCCCCGCCAAGAGGATGAAGGCGTCGCAGAGCCGGGTCGTCACACCGGCTCCGCTACCACTGACGAACCGCGAAGCAGCGCAGCAAATGGCTTTCACGCGAACGAAGTGGCTCAAGGGCCCTGCGATTGCAGGAAGTAAGAAACGGCCGCGGAGTGAAGCAAGATCAGGGTTCAAGCGTGTCATGATGGTTTCTCAGATACGTTTAGTGGAGGACTCATATGCCAGTTGCTTCTTGAAGCTTGGGAGTGAGGTGATGTATTGTTGAGAATCGTGGAAAGTCTGGCGAAGATTTGGAAGGTTGTCCAGCATCTGAGTAGAGCAAAGAACTGCTAATGTGTGGGTGCTTTTATGAGTGATTGCTCCAATCTAATGCACAACAGGACTCTTGTCAGAGACCTCTTGGTGAGAATGGTGTGTGAAACTGTAAGGCTACCTTCAAGTGGCAACATCAAAAACTTGATAACAATACATGGCCGCAGCTACACACAAGGTGCCACACACAGACTGACAAATCCTCACAAATCCATGTGCTGTGTGTATTGCGCAAATGATGGTCAAAGAAACAAATTCAAGGAAGGCAAACAAAGAAAATGCTAGGCCATTGAAGTTGTGCTGCCGACAAACTCTGTTGTCTGACACTGGGGGCTCCTAGAATTCAATTACGGTGAGCTGAAGATTGAAGGAAGAATGAATGTCAAGTTAGCTCAGCTGAAGGGGAAAGTGGTGGGATGAGGAAAAGAATTGAATTGCGCAGGCGGCAGGGCAATGTTTGGAGGAACCAAAGGTTGAACATGCAAGTAGTTCGTCTGAAAAAAAACGCGGCTGTTGTAGGCATTGATGTCCTTCTGGGAATAGGGGTCAGTTTGGTACCATATACCAATGGTTGTACACTTGAGGGTCCCCACTGTTAGTCCACCAATCAGTCCTCGCGTCTGTCTAGCGCCAAACCTTGCGCAGAAGAAAGGCTTCCCGGCTCAGCATTGCTTCCATGGCTAGAGCACCAAGCTTGTTGGGATCGATGTCCTCTTCAACATCCTCAAAGAATGAAGATTGCTTTAGATTTAGACGAATTCATCTGACCTGCAGCTTGGTCTCCTTTGCAGGATTTTGACCAGCTGGCTCGGCTCCATTTGACGTAGCGCTGTCACCACCTTTGCTGTACTTTGACCTCAACAGGCAGCAGCGAGACCAACAAACTCAAGGGAATCCAACAAGCGCTTTGTGCGACAACTTGGACCATAGCTGCAGCTTCCTGATGATCTGTCAGGGCGAAGACAATTGGTGTGCACGTTCAACAACATTTGACGAAGGTCAATTGTCTTGCACTATTTGTGTAAGGCCTCATCAGCATCATCTTCCAAAGCTTCAGACTTCTTAACACGGTTCAGTACCGCTGTCGCTACCTCGTACTGGAAATCCAAAACAAAAATAAAACAAAATTGCTTACAGCATATTGCTATTGTGAAGACTTTCTCTACAATGTTGTAAGGCACTTACCTGCTCCTTCCTGCGCTCTGCACTTGCACTGGAGCTCGAGCGCCTTGAAATCATCTCGGCATGTTTACGTTCCACCAACTCCTACTTCTGAGGGTCAGAGGGCTGGACGATTTGCTGCTTGACCTGATGCGGGCTCTTCATAAATGCTTGATGTTCACACTTTCACCTGCGTGCATGAACTCTTCATTCGTGGCTCAAACGCCTACTTTTTGTTTCCAGCAGGTTCGAAGTCTCAGAAGTCTACTGAGCACGAGCAAATGAAGGGACGACCAATTCAAGACAGCCAGAACTATCAAAGCCACGCCCCAGCTGTGGCACACGGGACATGGTGGCATCTTCTGGCTTCATGCCCTTCCGTATAAACTTCACATAGCTCTCATTGGCCTCCGCGGTGTGAAACCGCCTATCATCCAACCGCATTGCCAACTCCAACCTCTTCTGTCGCTCTCCCTCCGCTCGTTCCTCCTTCTCCTTTGCCAGCTGTGCTTCTTCTTCAGCTGGATCTACTGTTTTCTCGGAATCCGCCAGCTTCGTCTCTGTCGTGACTCCCTCTGTCTTGGCGATCTTGGCTTTGGCCAACAGCTTGGAGCCATGGCGTTTGCCAAGCAGTTGTGCTGCCTTGGCATCAGCCCCGCCCATGGCCACGCGCACGGATTTGTTGGCGTACATGAGGTCCAAGTGCAGGCGGCAGTAGGTCTCGCGAAGTAAGCGATTGCAAGGAAGCTTGCAGCCCTTCTTCTTGCAGGAGCCCAGGATGGGACATTCACCCAGCTTCTCTATTTGCTTAGGGTTCTCCACCAACAAGAGAGTTTCCTTGGTCCCGATCTTGGTAGCTACCTCAATCAGGTGTGGATTCAGGATTGCAATGATGGCACCACGGCATGCCTGGGCTGCATGCTCGCGCTTCCGCCAGTGCAAGCATGCCTGCCATCTGAGGTGCACAGTGATATTGCGCGGTTCTGGCTGCCCAAGATCCGTCAAACGCCATTTAACAAACTGCTCACCATTTTGCAGCTTCTCACTGCTGGAATTGTAAAAGAGAACTCCGATGATGATGTTGTCTTTCGTCTCTTT